TGTTGCTATTCCCCATCTGTCAGGATACAATCTCTCATCATACCAGATTTTGTGATCCGAATCAGTTCTGGAAGACAGCTTGCATTGGCATTGCCCGCCGCCATGGTACCAACACATACCACACAGTCGTAATGTCCTGTAAAAATAAAAAAAATACTTTTAAAATATACATGACGATAGTTTCAGGTCTAGAGGAACACACCTTCCAAGCAGGTATATTCAAAATAAAATATCGGAATAAGTACCTTTCCTACTCATATGTAAAAAATATTTAATCAACTTATAATAATAATAAAAAAAATAGTACAATCGACTTATATTCCTGATGGATGATTGGCGATACCTGGCTGTCCTCTTCGTGTCACTTTCTATCATGTGACAGGTACATGCATGCAACTGAAACCAATAAAGTCCCAAGCTGCTTTCTTCATATCAAAACTTTCATAATCTAAATTAAGCGTTTGTCACTACAAGTGATACTCTAAAGTTTCATGTACGTGGAAAAGATGAAAAAAAAAAAAAAACAAATGTATGTCGTTCGTATCCAGTGTCATTTATCTGTCTAAAGCAGGTTAAAAAACACTTCAAGCGCGTCCCATTAATATGACATAAACAGCGGAGAAAGTGAATTTAAAATTTATCGTTCAAATGATCAACAGCTAGTTTTTTTTTCCATTTTTGTTCGGCAAACAAGTAAGTTTGCATATTACTGCAATATGTAGGTGTGTATTATTAATACACTCCCATCACTATTCAGTTTGCCTAGATTACCAGTTCAAGACTCTAGAATTATGAAAAACTACAGAATTGTGTTTATTTACCCCACCTGAAGGAATATCCAATCTATTCGGGCCAAGCATATCACAAATACTCCTTTTGTAAATCCCTTTCTGATTGGCTATGTCTAACATCACCTGGCATGCGTCAAGAGCCTCTAGGTTTGTGAATCCAAGTTTTTGAAGCTGCCAATGAAAAAACCAACACATCTTATTGTAATTAATTTCAACAGTCTGATTAAAGTTGAATTTGAGAGTAATTGTTACTCTAACAGAACAATAAACAAGGATTGACAATGAAATAACAAGGCAAAGCTGAGGATGACAAGCGTTTGACGTGTTCCTCTCCTGTCCTCCAATCACCCTTGCCCTCTGGCCAAATCCTTATCACAAAGCCATTTGCAGCAGAGTTGGGCGTAATTTAGGTATGAGAATGTTGAATTGAAATTGTAGTCAGTGTCCAGCAGAGTGAAACTGACGAATAAAATCCGAAAAAAAATACGAAACAAGAGGACACCAAAATAGGCCTATTATTATTATTATTATTATTATTATTATTATTATTATTATTATTATTAATCTGGCATATTGCGAAAAGCACTGCCTAAGCTGCAGGAACAGCTGACACACAGAAAAAAGACCCAGAAGAACATCTTAGGGCTAGAGAGATTCAAATAATAATAATAATAATAATAATAATAATAATAATGTTATAGTTTGGGTTTGCTTTCTAATTTTTATAGTGTCTCTCTCTATAATTTTTACATAATTTTTCTATAATTTTTATATGTGTCTCTCTATAAAGTAAATTTGATGTACTTCTACATACCTCTACCCCGACCACCCCAGTGGCTGCTCCCGCATCCAATATGACAGCATCTCTCTTTTTGCCTAATATTTGATCGACAGCTTGGGCCACCACTTCTGGTCCTTTGTGCTGTATAACCTGTAAAAGGACAACATTCAGATATGGGTTTGTTGTTTCCATACATATATAAAATTAAGGAACCCTCTCCTTCCCCTTCCCCCCAACCCGCAAGTCTTTTCGAAATAGAATATTGGAATCAGTACCATTCCCTTCTAAAATGTAAACCCCCCACCCACCCTAACTTTACACCGAGTTGTGTTCCATCCATTTTTTCTTTCTACAGTAGACTATTTCTGGATAGTTTGTTGCAAACAAGCATCTCTTAATTAGAGGCCCCCCTCCCCCTTCCCCAGTAAGTATATTCGAAACAAAATATTGGGTTTGATACCACACCTTTCTAAATGTACCCCCCCCCCCCCTTAGCTTACACAAAGTTGTGGTCAATCCCGTTTTCCTTTATACAGTACACTATCGGCCATTGGGGACACAATGGAAAAGGTTATATTTTATCTGATACCAAGGGTCAAGGTCGATATAAATACCTCGTTATCTTCGTCAAAGGTGGGTGCCCACTGACTATAAAACCTTAAGGTGTCCTCTACGTTGCCTGTCGCTGTGTTTCCGCTATTAATCTTAGCCAATGTTTCTTTCTGGCGTGTGGTTGACATTGCAATTCTTAAATATGCATTTCAAGGATGTAAGGATGTCATAGTACACACAAACTCATACATACGCAACCCATACGTACATCAATAATGAGTTATTAATTCATTATTATTATTATCATTATTATTATTATTTTTATTATTCTTATTAATTTAAACCTCCTTGAAATGTGAATAAAACATAACACTTCATACTTTTGCATATCAACAGTTATGAAAACAAAGTAAAACCGAAGCAGGCTTGGTCCTTTGGCAAAAATGAAATACAATTAAGTGTTGTACAAACCGATGATGAACTGCATATCTTATGATGGTCAATATCTTATACATCGTTGTTCAAACGGACTAAAATAAAGCGCTGCCCTACTAAAGTAAAAAAATTAAATTGCTCATACGCAGTCAAACGCAATGGGTTCGTTGGAAATGCGCTGTACGTCTTTCGAGTACATAAGCAAACGTTTGTGTACGCTACCACGTTTAATGCAAAATGGGGTATACATTTTCAAGCATGTTCAAAAATTCAGCTTTCATGCACCTAGTATAATTTGTACAATACCCATACATTAGGGTTACGCCAGGCATTCGACAAAAACTCTAGGACACGATCCAAGTCACACTTCTAATGCGGTGGTCGCTATAGACATCTTGATAACACATGATTAACGTATTCCCGCTCGCTTTTTGTCATTTGAGTTTTAATCAGAGTTCAATCCTCACTTCTTTATCACTGTTTTTCCATACAGAGAGGATAGAGTTATATATTTTCTAACACTGGATCTGATCCAGTTTTCAGATCATAGTCATCAGCAAAACAGTAGAACACATTTATCACCCATATCCTTACGCGTAACTCATATATATGCCCATATACCGTATTCAAACGCTCTTATACACTACTTATCCTCCATCTCGAACAGCAGTGATAAATATGTGGAAATATATCTCTCATTGCACCATGTATGACATAACGCAAAGGGTACGCTTTTCACACGATAATCACGCGTTAGGTAAACGATGAACGTTTGGCATACGCTTCTATACGCAAGAAGTACGTAAATATACAGCAGGTTTACGTTAACATATACCAATCAGTAGTGTTTTATATCGTAAATAAATGACTCGGTCATCAGCTTTACATTACGTTTACGTTACGCATACACAAGTTAAGCCAACCACCACGAAGAGCGTAGTATTACGTACCTTAACCGACACGCTACCTGATTTGGCGTTTCCCTACCGTTACCAAGTATGCAATTCGTGCTTGTGTACGCTGAAAAGTGTGGACAGGTTGAAAACAATTTTTAAATCCGCGGAGGTGAATGTTCACCACTGCTTTTCTTCGTACTTGAAACGTATACCACGTTAGTCTAACATACCCCTTGTGTTTGTCTGCGTATGTGTAAATGTCCTCATACGTGAGTACTATACGCTAGAGTGTGACAGTGCCTTTACTGTTTGCTGATGATCTCCCGTGTGATCTTTTTTACACACATAATAACAATGAGGGACTGTTGCCTCACATCAAGTCATACGACACTATTTAGTTGACACCTACATATGTTTTATAGCGGAAATGCTGGTGTCACAATGTATGGATGATTTTGAAGCATATCTCATAGTAGTAGTAGTAATTAGGGCACTTGTATGGTGTATTCTTCACAGTGTAAAATCTATACAGCAGATGTGCTGATGATGTTTGGTTGCAGCTCAGAGGCAGATTAAGTTGTAACGGTACCAAGCCTTATTTTGATGGGAAAAGCATTATTTGATAATTATGTTAAATGAGGCCATATGAGACAATATAAAGTCACGATGTATAGTTATATATGGTGTAAATATGATATTGACCGCTCTTCTTATCTTTACATACAAAAAATGACGTAGATTTTGTCTCATTTACTCATTGTACTTCATACGGTTAGTAGTTCACTGCCCTTGCAGGTTCCATAAGCAATCAGAGAAAAGAATAATAACCATGTTTTTACTGAAAGCCAGAAGGTATTTTTCTATGTAATGATAAATAGATCAATAAAGAAACAATAAATGAAAAACAAGATAAATAAAACTCTGCTTATACGTGCTATAAACAGTTTGAAGAGTATTGTTTCTCTGTTTGTCACATGACCTGTGGTGTGCTCCATACTAAGAGCAATGTAATCCCAATTTAAAACAGACGAAGAGTTGATCAGAAGCAAATTAAGTGATCAACAGGGGCGGATCCGATTATGCGGATGCGAAGCCAACACCACCCACCCCCACCCCCAGGGGCGAACGGCGTCATTTGGTACGGTTTACAACTATGATTCAGCTAGTCAAAATTCTAATTTCAAGAGGGGATCCCATTGGTGTGATTTTTTTTTTTTACCTCCGATATTAATTATTTGACACACAGTTTATATAATCGGGCATGCGCTTTTTTTTTCAAATATTCCATGGATTGCAACTTGATGTAGACAACTTCATATTCTTTTTATTCTTTTTTCGCCATTTTATATCTTATATAGGACCGTGTAAATGCGATAAAAGGCGGGAAGCAATGACTGAAAAGCCAAAGAATGGCTTTCTTCGTAGTTCTGCTATATATTTGAAAAGGAAAGTACGTGATTTTAAGTCATTGCTTTTTTTAGGGGGGGTGAGGTGTATTTTCTCCATTTTTCTGTACCATTTTGAGCATTTCATTAACTAAGGCTAGCATCTCATTGGCAGAGAGAGCTTGTGACATTAAGTAATCAGCTTTCAGTTTTGTCTGTATGTCACCAAGAGGTTCAGCAAAATGAATATGTGAATTGTTTTCCAAAACTAATTTACTGATTTTGGTCATCAGTTGAATTCACCTCACAATGTATTTTAACCCACAAACACACAAGCTAAAAAAGTTAAACAGCTGTTTGCTCCCCAAAATGAAACGGCCAAAAATATTCGAAGGATCTGCCCGTATATATTCATCGAGGCAACAGGATTTCAGAATTTATTTCTACGTATGTACTCTTCCACATATCCTCACAGCAGGTAAGCGAAACGAACCGCAACCCCGGTGATGAGGAGTCGAAACATAAATCAGTCCCTTGGTCTGGCACATACCCGGTATCTTGGGGGCTCGTACAGGAGTCCTAAGCTACCATCTGGATCTGGAATCGCCTCTCCCTCTGGCACGTGGAAGGTGAAAGTCTGGACCAAGGCAGCTATGACCAGAAACATTTCCTGACGAGCAACAGTCTCTCCAGGGCAGGAGCGTTTTCCTTAAACAGCAAATAAAGATATCAGTATTTGTATTTGAATGGAGATGTGAAGATGTTTTATGTTTTGATTTAATTAACGCATGCACAGGTCTTAATTTGCATACAAAGAAAAGAAAATCTGTCTGTTATAAAGTATACCGATCACGCTTACATGACACTTTACAACATTGTATATGTCATCGTGTCTTTAATTCCTCTTACCTTATTAAAAATGAAAACAGAAAGGGATATTTCCATTAATTGATTATATCATTGTTACAATAGGCGACTGGGACGGAAAATAGAATTCACTGGATCATCTGAAAATGCCAACAGCTCAGAAGGGGCAAATCACGTATTGAAAAAAAGGCTAATAAAATAGAATAAATGCCATAAGGTTTAGGGGTTTTTCAAAATATTACCTAGGGAAAACGGGATGAAAGCCTCGATCTTTTTCAAGTTTCCATCTTCGTCTAGAAACCTTGTAGGTCGAAATTCACGAGGATTGGACCAATTTTTTTCATCCATGAACACAGACCAAAAGTTTGCCATGATTGTCGTTCCTTCAGGGATCACGTATCCATTAATAGTGGTATCACGTATCGCTTTATGAGGAAGCGACAGCGGTCCAATATAATTGCAGCGTTGTATTTCCATTAGCGTAGCGTTAACATAGGGGAGATGCGGCCTGTCGGCAAGACTGGGGCGTCGTGTGTTTCCTACGACTTCTTCCAATTCTGCATGGATCTTTTCACAGACGTCAGGGTTAGATAAAAGGTACAGCATTCCCCAGGTTAGTGTTGTTGACGTTGTTTCCGATCCCCCGAGATAGAGCGTCTGGCAATTTGCTATTAGATCCTCATCATTAAATGCAAAAGAATTATCCGAGTCTCCTTGATTTGATTGGTGCAGAAAAGCATCGACCAGACCTCTCGTGGCGCCTGGATCATATCCCAATCTGTGCTGATCTAGCAAACATTTTACTTGGCTTGCAAATACATTCCAAGCCTCGTTTCCATTTTTACATTGCGGTAAAAACGAAAGAAATGGCAGGAAATTCTGAAACGAGGCCTGGGCGCTTAATCTGGATGCAGCATGGTATGAATCGACCAAATGTTTGAAATCTGGATCATCGTACTCCTGTCTGCCTCCGAACAGAATGCTACCTATGATGTTGGATACAGTGGCACTGATGGTGCTGTTGAAATCGAACGGTTCGCCATTTTTATTGCGGATGTATTGAAGCAGAGCGTCAGTCTCATCTTCAGTTTGCTTCTCGGTGTCAGCTTTTGCTAGGTACTTTAAGGTAAAATCTCGCTGAGTCCTCTGCCTTGCACAATAATCGGTGCATAAAAAACCTAAAAAGAAAAAAAATCACAGTCGCAGTATTCGACATGCTTTCGGAAAACAAGGTAAACGTAGTTTGAGGCCATGTATATAAATGCGGTAGGGTTGACACTTTTTGGTAGGGGAGTAATTCCTAAAAAGAAGTGAATTTTCTATAGAGCATTTGCTGTTAAATTATCAAGATGAATGTGAAATGTGAAAACAGTAACGTACACTTTTCGTCGTATTTCACGCAAATGGATCTTAATCAAATGTAGCTTTTTCTTGTCACTAGTACAGGTGTTATTTTCATGACACCAAATATAATTTTCAACCAAATGGAATATTGATTTTGTCTCAGAATTGCTTTCATTTAAATAGTCAAACGTGTAAATCTAAATAAGATCTCTACTTTATCTTCTCTTTGGCAGTATACTATGTCACAGTTCATGCGTATTTGTATGTTCTTGTTAACTGTTCATGATAGCACTTACAGTTCACAGGTATGTACAGGTAAACGGTGCAATATGACCAGGACTGGACGTATCCACAAAGTTATAATCAGCCTTGACCTACATGTATGCACTAGTTACAACATGTCCACTATATGTGAAATACAAGAGCGTAATTATATCGATGCGCAGCAGAGATATAATTTTTTTGTAGTGTATACTATACATGCAACGCATCACTTTCCTATTTTTCTTCTTTTTTACTATACATCCTTGGCATTCTCCTTCTCCTCCGCGTTGGTTTGCTTCTTCCACGTGTATCCACAACAAGTGCCATGAAGCTGCGCATATGTTATATAATTGTTGTATGCAAGCACGCTTGGGAGTGGGGGGTATCACATAACTTGTATTTGATTACGACAACCAGAAATATGAACAAGAATTTTGTCAATCTCTATGCACCAACTTGAAATTTGGTATAGAAATTAAGCATTCTTCAGACTTGAGTATGGTGTAGCGTTAGACGAAAAATGATCGAAATGTTCCCATCAAATATATCGGTGATATATCAATAGACTTTTTAGTATTACTATAGTTTATGAAGGCTCTTGTAAACAATCCGATTGCATCGCACATATAACATATTTTCAAATATAAATATTAATACGAGTCCGTTTATATTACAGTACAATAAACCCAGAAGGTTTTTTCTTTAAGGGTTTTGAATGTTTTGATTTGACATGATGACAGTATATGTATTGTCGCCCTTAAATAGGTCCTGCAAGTCACTTTTTAACACAACTTAAAGAGCGCAGTGCAGTCCAACAGGCACTCACCTTTTCCATGGAGAAAATCAAAAGTCGGAATCCGCGGTCTGCCAGAAGTCAGCGCTCCCTTTCTCTGAAACACGTCTCGGATAGCTTCATAACCGGTCAATACAACGGTTGTCTTGGTGCCCAATCTAACGCTGAATATGTCGCCATACTTCTTAGCCCATCCCACCATGACGAGGTGAGGATCTGTCCCAAGGAAGGGGAGAACTCCGACCACTGGGAAACCCCAGGGACCTGGAGGTAGTCCGTTAGTCTTACGTTGCTTCCATAGAATAAGAAGGAAAATCACCACGACTGCGCACAATAGCACAGGCGTATCGGGAAAAGCAGCAACTGCGATTTGGAGTAGAGTCATTTCACGTTACTCTAAACGTTAACCCGCGCAGAGCCTTGTATCAATATCTCGAAGCAGAGTGATATATAGCTGTATGTATACTGGGAGAGAACGGATGGCCAACAGGGGGCCCAAGGTCAGCCCACTGAGATTATAGGCATTCTGCAGCTAGTTGAATAGATGTTGACTTCGAATCTTTTGTTTACTGAATGGCTTGCTCTTCAGATCAGTAAACACAGGAAGTCTAGCTGCAAAAGACCAATACAGTCATTGTTACGAAAAATATACCGGTAGGCTGGACCGTGTCAGAACTCCTCTTTATTCCTTTATCTATATTTTGTATCTATTCTTTGCTAAGGGTCATTACTTGTCCCCAGCAATAAAGGTCTTCCATCCTTGAGGCAGGTATCCTGGACTACCTTATATAGAACACTGTGTACTAAGAACTTCCACTGTCACCAGCTTAAAGTTGTCTAAATCTGTTTGACTACGCTAGATAGCGCTGACCAAACGCTTGTATCAATAGCCAGCTTATCCATATTATCTGTGTACTTGCTGCTGGTAAATATATATTAACTTACCGCTTAATCTTTGTAATGGATCACTTAATAATAGTCACAAACATTTATGCCTTTACAATGCTTGACCAATGTATGACCCGTCCTTTTGTTGGGCATACCCAGCTCCCTTTCTCAAAGATCATTGCTTAACCCGAGTTCCCCCCACCCCGTAACCTCACAATCTACAATAGTTTTGTTACGTAATCACTGATGAAATGGGACGTTTACCCATCTATCCGATACACAGTTTCCCTGTACATATGGGCTGCAAACCATACTCTGGTATCACAAAGGTCTTTATTTTGGTATGCAAAACAGTCTAACTGGAGAAAACGCAATCGATTTGAAAGAGACTACGGGTGACTTCTATTGGTCAGAGAAAAACTGTGTGCTACGAGATATCGGCTGGGTGTTGTGGAGGTTGTGCACAAGTTTAAGATAAACGTCGCTGTTTAAGTCACATTTAAAATGTCCGTGCTTGGATCTGTAGTTGACCCATTGTTGACCTGCTGTTGGTAGTTGTTTTTGTGGCTTTAATCTTTGTTTTTTTGCGGAGCCGCAAGAGGAACAACCTTCCCCCGGGTCCATGGGGGCTCCCATTGGTAGGCGTGCTGCCTTTCCTTGGAAAAGACCCTCAGCTTACCCTGATGGAGTGGGCCAAGATCTACGGTAACATATTCACTGTGAAGATGGGGATCACCACAGCGATTATATTGAACGGTTATGAAGCTATCCGAGATGTGTTTCAGAGAAAGGGAGCCCTGTCTTCTGGCAGACCGTATATTCCGACTCTAGATTTTCTCCATGGGAAAGGTGAGTGATCCGTACTGCATGTGACATGGGGGGGGGGGGGGAGAGGCGTGTAAAGCTAATGAGTTACTACAAGGCCATCATCTCTACCGTAACAGATCTGAAGTCTCATGTCAGCCTTGCACTACATGTAAAGACCACACTGCATCATTATCTGAGATCTGCAAATTTGTGCTTTCTTTTTAATATCCTTGCAGTGTCGGGATTTAGAATCATTACGGCACTGGAAGATAAGGAGCTGCCAATCATTACAAAAGTAGACGGCTTACATAATTTTTATCTATAAAATGACAAGAAAATGCTGCAAAATATCGAATTTCATGCACCTTTAACTATCCATACAAATAATAGGTGAAATGCAAGTCGGGAAACTTGACGCACAATATAGTAGATGATTGGGGAGCCGCAAATGAGACACTGATCGCCATAAATCTGCGTAAAGCTTCGAGACGAGTAATTATCTGACAAAATGAACGTCAATTACGAGTGAAATGAAAATTTTTATTGTTGTTTAAAGAAACTGTTTGTACTTTTTTATCAACTACATGCGCATTATTTTACCAGGGTTAGTATGTGCTGATTACAGCATGAAACAAAGAGCTTACCGGGAATTTACCCTGAAGTATCTGGCAAAAGCTGACATTGAGAAACAAACTGAAAATGAGATTGACGCTCTGCTGCAGTACATCCGAAATACAAACGGCGAACCGTTCGATTTCAACAGCACCATCAGCTCTACGGGATCAAACGTCATAGGGAGTATTTTATTTGGAGGCAGACAGGACTACGACGACCCGAATTTCATAAATTTGGTCGGCTCCTATCGCCATGCAGCCGAACTCAGTGCCCAAGCTTCAATTCAAAACTTTCTCCCTTTCCTTTCATTTTTGCCTCAGTGTAGCGAAGGCAAGGTGGCGTGGAACACGTTTGCAAGCCACGTCAAAAGGTTGCTAGACCAGCACAAATTGGGGTACGATGCACGCGCCACGAGAGGTCTTGTCGACGCTTTTCTGCACCAATTTAAAGAGGGTGACTCTGATCAAAAGTGGCTGTATACGGACGAAGACTTGCTTGCTAACTGCCAGTCACTTTATCTCGGGGGATCAGAAACAACGTCGACGACACTAACTTGGGGAATGCTGTGCCTTTTATCTAACCCTGACGTGTATGAAAAGATCCATGCAGAATTGGATGAAGTCGTAGGAAAGACACGACGCCCCAGTCTTGCCGACAGGCCGCATCTCCCCTATGTTAACGCTACGCTAATGGAAATACAACGCTGCAATTATATTGCACCGTTCTCTCTACCACACAAGGCTACAAAGGACACCTTTATTGGGGGATATGTCATTCCCGAAGGAACAAGCATTTTGGCGAATTATTGGTCTGTTTTTATGAATGAGGATCTCTGGCCCAACCCACGAGAATTTCAACCTTCGAGGTTTTTCGATGAATACGGCATCTTAAAAAGAGTCGAGACGTTTATCCCATTTTCCATAGGTAAACTTTTATAACTTTAAACACATATCAGAAAACATATTAAAACACCCTTTGTGACGTAGTTTATTTAATCACTGCGGAAAATCAAACCGTTTTCTACTCGTGTCCTTTATTATTTCAATAACATCTGCGTTTCATAGTTAAGTATCAAGGTACATACTTTTTTGTATTTAATGTAAGTATGGCTAAGATACATGATGCTGTCAGCTTAAGTTTAAAAACTTTTCAAAATCATTTCATATCATTTTCAAATATTTTAACTACGCGAGCAACACGTGTACTGGTATGGATGGTCATCAATACAGCAATGATACTTCTTTGTTTTTTTTTTTTTAGGAAAACGCTCCTGCCCTGGAGAAATTTTGGCTCGCCATGAGATGTTTCTGGTGTTAACTGCCCTAGTCCAGACGTTCACGTTCCACGTGCCTAAGGGAGAAGTGCTTCCTGAACTAGCTGGCACCACGGGAGCGGTGTACGTGCCCCCGAGGTTCCGTGTGTGCGCCAGGCCAAGGGATCTGACCAATGACTGACCTTGTGACCACTGACTGACCTCGTGACCACTGACTGACCTGGTGTCCAATGACTGACCTCGTGACCAATGGCTATCCACGTGACCAATACCTGACCTTGTGACCCCAAGGGTTTTCGTGTTATCACTTTTTAACAGTATATTGTAAAAAAAAATTAATCCGACCGACGGCTCGATCAAAAACGAGATGACCAGAAGTACTATTTTATTATTAAAATGCACAACATGTATACTACTTGTAGAATACTAAGAAAATATTATTTGAATCAACTCTGAACCAATGTATAAATGAAGAACACATGACAAATNGGATCATCTGAGGCCCCCTTCGAGCTGATCACGCGTCATACATATGCCACAGGTGCACCTGCGGTCCACCTGTGAAATACTAAGAGTTTGGTGCACATATAGGGCCTACTACTTACGTCTTCTGCCTCCATCATGTGTTCTTATCGCAGTGAACAACGCTTCCGGTACTATTTTGACCCCTGCAGTGCACAATTCCGGTCATGCGCACATCGCACCTTTCGAATTATGTAAGTCGTATGAAGGTCGCTGTTTAAGTCACGTTCAAAATGTCTGTGCTTGGATCTGTAGTTAACCCATTTGTCGGTTCGACACTGCTGTTGGTAGTTGTTTTTGTGGCTTTAATCTTTGTCTTTGTGCGGGGCCGCAAGAAGAACAACCTTCCCCCGGGTCCATGGGGACTCCCACTGGTAGGCGTTCTCCCTTTCCTTGGGAGAGATCCTCAACTTACCCTGATGGAGTGGGCCAAGATCTACGGCAACATATTCACAGTGAAGATGGGGACCACCACAGCGGTTATTTTGACCGGTTATGAAGCTATCCGAGATGTGTTTCAGAGAAAAGGAGCGTTGACTTCTGGCAGGCCGCATATCCCGACATTCGATTTTCTCCATGGGAGAGGTGAGTAATCCGTATTGTATGTGACATGCGGGGGTATAACTGTATATGAAAGGTAATGAGTTACAAGACCATCATTTGTACCGTTACAGATCATAAGTCTCATGTCAGCCTCGCACTAAAGCCCTCACAGCATCGTTATCTTAGACCCCATTTCCAGAGATTAGATCGATCTACTTTAGATCGACCTAACTCCCTGGGGGTTCACGCTAAATAGCTGTCAGCCGAGCGGACACGGAAGTTAATTACCCCCTTACAGCTTGTAGTAGGCGGGACGGACATTTAAGCCGGATTATCTGACAGTAGCCTAATCTAGTGAGACTCCCCGCGGGGATAGATCGATCTAAAAGCTTTGGGAATACAGCCTTAGATCGGCCTTTTTGTAGGCCTACTTTCTTTTTAACATCCTTGCAGTGTCGGGATTTAGAATCATTACGGCACTGGAAGATACGAAGCTGCCAAGAACTACACAAGTAGACGGCTTACATAATTTTTATCTATAAATTATAAGTGACAAGAAAATGCTGCAAAATATCGAATTCCAGGCACTTTAAGTATCCAAACAAATAACAGATGAAATGCAAGTCGGGAAGCTTAACGCGAAATAGAGGAGATGATTTAGGAGACGCAGTCGAGACACTGATGTCCTTTAACCTGCTTAAAGTTTCGCGATGTGTACTTGTCTGACAAGATGGCCGCTAATTACCATTACCATAGATGCCGCCTGTTTAAAGAAAATTAAAATTGTTTGTCAATTATATGTGCATTATATTCCAGGGTTAGTGTGTGCTGATTATAGCATGAAACAAAGAGCTCACCGGGAATTCACCCTGAAGTATCTGGCAAAAGCTGACATCGAGAAACAAACTGAAGACGAGATTGACGCTCTGCTGCAGTACATCCGAGATACAAATGGCGAGCCGTTTGATTTCAATAGAACCATCAGCTCTTCGGGGTCAAACATCATAGGTAGCATTTTGTTCGGAGACAGACAGGAGTACGACGATCCAGATTTCAGAAATTTGATCGATTCCTATCGCCATGCAGCCGAACTAAGTGCTCAAGCTTCAATTCAGAACTTTCTCCCTTTCCTTTCATTTTTGCCTCAGTGTAGCGAAGGCAAGGTGGCGTGGAACACGTTTGCAAGCCACGTCAAAAGGCTGCTAGACCAGCACAAGTTGGGGTATGATGCAGGCGCCACGAGAGGTCTTATCGACGCTTTCCTGCACCAATTTAAAACCGGTGACTCTGAGCAGAAGTGGCTGTATACGGACGAAGACTTGCTTGCTAACTGCCAGTCACTTTATTTAGGGGGCTCGGAAACAACGTCGACGACACTAACTTGGGGAATGTTGTACCTCCTATCTAACCCTGACGTCTGTGAAAAGATCCATGCAGAATTGAAAGAAGTCGTAGGAAAGACACGACGCCCCAGTCTTGCCGACAGACCGCATCTCCCTTTTGTTAACGCTACGCTAATGGAAATACAGCGCTGTAATTATATTGTACCGTTCTCTCTACCGCACAAGGCTACAAAGGACACCTTTATTGGGGGATATGTCATTCCCGAAGGAACAAGCATCTTGGCGAACTATTGGTCTGTTTTTATGAATGAGGATTTCTGGCCCAACCCGCGAGAATTTCGACCTTCGAGGTTTTTCGATGAACATGGGAACTTAAAAAGAGTCGAGAATTTTATCCCATTCTCCATAGGTAAACTTTCATAACTTTAAACACATATCAGAAAACATATTAAAACACCCTTTTTGACGTAGTTTATTTAATCACTGCGGAAAATCAAGTCGTTTCTACTCGTGTCCTTTTTTATTTCAATAACATCTGAGTTTCATAGTTAAAAGTATCAAGGTACATACTTTTGTGTATTTAATGTAAGTATGGCTAAGATACATGATGCTATCAGCTTAAGTTTAAATACTTTTCAAAATCATTTCATATCATTTTCAAATATTTTAACTACGTAAGCAACACGTGTACTAGTATGGATGGTCATCAATACAGCAATTACACTTCTTTGTTTTTTTTCAGGAAAACGCTCCTGCCCTGGAGAAATTTTGGCTCGCCATGAGATGTTTCTGGTGTTAACTGCCCTAGTCCAGACGTTCACGTTCCACGTGCCTAAGGGAGAAGTGCTTCCTGAACTAGCTGGCACCACGGGAGCGGTGTACGTGCCCCCGAGGTTCCGTGTATGCGCCAGGCCAAGGGATCTGACCAGTGACTGACCTTGTGACCACTGACTAACCTCGTGACCACTGACTGACCTGGTGTCCAATGACTGACCTCGTGACCAATGGCTAACCACGTGACTAATACCTGACCTTGTGACCCCCAAGGGTTTTCGTGTTATCACTTTTTAACAGTATATCGTAAAAAAAAAAAAAACATTTAATCCGACCGACGGCTCGATCAAAAACGAGATGACCAGAAGCACTATTTTATTATTAAAATGCACAACATGTATACTGCTAGTAGAATACTAAGAAAATATTATTTGAATCAACTCTGAACCAATGTATAAATGAAGGACACATGAAAAATGGAATGTTGCGTTTTGGTAATATATGTATATATAATATAACACAGATAGGGCCTCTTTTTGTACAGTTTCTAGTGACCTAACGTCGCAATTCCTTACATCGAGGCTTTCTTGCCCACCTGCGTCACTATAGAGAAACGCGACGTAAATAAACTATTTATATCATCATGTAAGAAGAGTTAATTTGATCTTCTCCATCCTCGTACATCCTTACGACAAAAACACCGGATGTCTCTTCGGATTTTCCTGAGTAATTTACCAACAGATTCACTAACAGATTTGAGAGTAAACAACAAAAGCGTTACAAGTGCCGATGGTCTTTTAAATTAAAACTATCAGTAGAGCTCTATATGAATATTATTATTATTATTATTATTATTATTATTATTATGAACAATGTCCCTTGTGGTACACAAACAGAATAGATGATATCGCGTGTACCAAGACGACTGCGCAACCCCACATCGAGCTCGCAGAATCACTGTTTTTCTTCAAAACCAATGGGCTCAGCAACTGCCCTGGCCTGCAAACTCCCAAGATATGAACCCAATTGAAAATCTCTGGGCGGAAGTAACTCACAGAATTAATAGCTATGGTCATCGGCCGGTAAATAGTGATGAACTGCGTCAGGCAAATATCACTGCGTGAAATAATATCCCCATCCAAACTCTAAAAAACTTGTCACATAGTATGCCATGTAGGATGAGCGCGCTGCAAGCGGCTGCTGGAGGTCATACCCAGCATTGATGACTATTTCATTGACTATTTATGATTATTGATGACTTTTCATGATTTACTGTAATGAGTTCTTTGACTGTGTAACATATCACTGTCCGGAGGCTATTGTTTTCTTTAATATCTTAGCTTAAAATTAATACTGTCATCAAACTGTTGATATGGTTTTCTGGGGGTGTTCTTTCTTTTGAATGTCAACTTATGTCAGATTTGATAATATTGACCAAAATATCTCACAGTAGAAGACTGGATATTTTTATCAGTCAGTGAAATACTTTTTTGATGAATCAAGCCAAAAAATTTTAATCAGCACTCAAAAATAACAAAGATAAAAAATATTCCATATTAAGTAGTAACCCTGTAAGTCTTTAATTGTATTTATTAATAGGCGAATATATATTTAAAAAAAAACAGTTTGCGCATTCCCTTCAAGGACTTGGTACATTCTCCACTGTCTTGAGTCAAACTTCCATCTGGTATTTCTCCTTTTTCTCTGCTGCCAAACTCCACTGTCTGGATCCACTATTTTGTTTCTTCTTCTATCCTCACTGTACAGTTTACACCTATAAAACAAGTAAAAATAGCCATGAAAATACTTATTAAAGTTATCATCAACACATCTTTAACAGTGATTTATTTACACACATACATATTAGACTGATTACAAAACAGAAAATTGACATGACCAGTCATATTTTTTTCTTACCGAAATCTACCTGGATACACAACAGAAAGATAATGAAGAAGAAACAAATGACAAATGCACTGATATTGACATTGAGCTTGTACTAATTACCTGTAGGCCTACAGTGCACTAGCCCACCTCAGAGACTGTATCAGATAATTGCCTGAACCAGGTGACAAATCTATCTCCCCAAGAAAGGACTCGGGTGAACATTATTACATAATGACACTTGTGCCTGGACATGTTGTAATACAATATAGTAGTGATATGCATTGCAAGTTTATTTCTCTTCCACTAATGTCACTAGTGTAAAGGCATGCCTGGCTAGTGAGATAACTAAGAATCAATGCATGGTCATTATGATATCAAATCAAGCCTACAAATATTCACCTGAAAATAACAAGCTATAGAAATTTCGCATATGTAAAGTGTTTAAGAATCAATTGTAATATGCAACAACCAATTCATGTTCTAAACAGTGTGACCAAATGAAATGAACGTACTATTATCGTCCTTGGCTATGGAGACTACAGTAGAGATATCGCCATAATGATCAACACCACATTAGGGTTTTGTATTTGGTCTTGTATTTCAGAAAATATCGTGTAACATACCTTTTTATCAGCTCTTCTTTTTGGTGTGCGGGCATTCATACATTTCATCCAACGTTTCAACTCCGGCACCGTTGTCGCTTCAAATGGCTTGTTTAATATCGCTCTCGGTAGGCCCTACGTCAGTAGTATACGTGCACCAAACTCTTAGTATTTCACAGGTGGACCGCAGGTGGACATGTGGCATAAGTATGACGCGTAATCAGCTCGAAGGGGGCCTCAGGTGGTCCTGTTACGTAATATCACGTAATATTATTTAAAATTACATAACCTTATGTATTATTACAGAATCAACTATTAGCGTTTGAAGGTGGACCTGTTATGTAAGTGCATATGTGCATTTCGCAGGTGGACGTTTTGTATTTGTAATAGATAGACCCCGAGTCAGCGAGGGTTATGTGGCATACACGAGTGCGTAGCACGAGTGGATGTCACATAACCCTCGCTGACGAGGGGTCTATCTTACTTAGACCACGGTCCATTAACTTCAACAACAGTTCACGACATCAGACTCACGCAACTACCCCGCTATCTTCATTACCACACTATTCATCATGTTTGGAGCGGAGGAGGACGTCACCCTCTCTCAGCTAGATTTATTACCAACCTAATCGTTATACAAGGTGGATGTCGATGCAGAATCAAAGCGGTTCGAAGAGCCAGTACATTCCGCTGAATTTGAAAAAATGGTTGCAGACAGAATTCCAGCAAACACACAGAAAAATACGACCTGGGCATGTAATATCTTTAAGGACTGGCTCACGTGGCGTAATTTTAGAACTGTCACTATGGCCGACCCTCACTATGGCCGACCCTCACCCTTGAGGAGGGAAATCTAGAGATTTTGGACTATTGGTTGGCTAGATTCATAACGGAAATTAAGCGCCAAGATGGCAGTTCCTATCCGCCAGGTGTGTTTAATTTTTCTTATCATTCGTTATTATCTTTTAAGTCGCAGCAGCACCCTGCTTCAATATTGTTAAGACATTTCAAATAAATATGCAATATTCGTGAAACAACTATATTTTGAATTTCAAAAGCATCGTGCGCTTCAGTAACTTCATCTTCAACCCAGCCTGCAAGTTCTTTATCGGCACCTCCAATGAAGCAAAATACGGAAAAGGACGACAAAATTTTAACAATTGAAATACCTTCTGTTATTGAGAAAGTTGTAATAATAAAAAACGGCAAAAAGATCACTTTTGAAATATAATACAGCTTGTTTTTTGTTCTTTCTTTTTTCATATGTGGTGATAAACGCTCAGTCCCTAATTAACTTGCTTTCAGGTGTGTTTACGGTTCTGTGCTTCGATGAGTAGTATGTGTGTGTTTTAGCGGGTTATAACGCATTCATGCGAGACGTGCGGTTATGCGAGTTACACCACGTCTGAGTCTTTTGTTTTTCACTTCCACCGTGGTCTAAGTGACAGTAACGTATGTTCCTTTTTGGGGTTAAACGATGAATTATTTTTAATTATTCATGGTTCCAGGAGAGTGAAACTTTAATAGAAGCTTCTTCATGTGGGACCCTAAAATAATCAAACACAGTTAGCAATCTGTGCAGTAAATATCTTTAATAACATGCTTGTGGCATCAATTGCACCTCTATATTGGGTTTGGGTGAATAACACGAAAGAATAACAATGCTTTACATCTTAGTGAAACACACACACAATATTTTTTTCTTTTTACTAAACACTTGGTCGTTCGTTTGTATCAATAAACCAGTTTATGGTATTTATTTCAATAGCTGNGATTCATGACGGAAATTAAGCGCCAAGATGGCAGTTCCTATCCGCCAGGTGTGTTTAATTTTTGTTATCATTCGTTATTATCTTTTAAGTCGCAGCAGCACCCTGCTTAAATATTGCATATTTATTTGAAATGTCTTAACAATATTGTTAAGACATTTCAAATAAATATGCAATATTCGTGAAACAACTATATTTTGAATTTCAAAAGCATCGTGCGCTTCAGTAACTTCATCTTCAACCCAGCCTGCAAGTTCTTTATCGGCACCTCCAATGAAGCAAAATACGGAAAAGGACGACAAAATTTTAACAATTGAAATACCTTCTGTTATTGAGAAAGTTGTAATAATAAAAAACTGCAAAAAGATCACTTTTGAAATATAATACAGCTTGTTTTTTGTTCTTTCTTTTTTCATATGTGGTAATAAACGCTCAGTCCCTAATTAACTTGCTTTCAGGTGTGTTTACGGTTCTGTGCTTCGATGAGTAGTATGTGTGTGTTTTAGCGGGTTATAACGCATTCATGCGAGACGTGCGGTTATGCGAGTTACACCACGTCTGAGTCTTTTGTTTTTCACTTCCACCGTGGTCTAAGTGACAGTAACGTATGTTCCTTTTTGGGGTTAAACGATGAATTATTTTTAATTATTCATGGTTCCAGGATAGTGAAACTTTAATAGAAGCTTCTTCATGTGGTACCCTAAAATAATCAAACACAGTTAGCAATCTGTGCTGTAAATATCTTTAATAACATGCTTGTGGCATCAATTGCACCTCTATATTGGGTTTGGGTGAATAACACGAAAGAATAACATTGCTTTACATCTTAGTGAAACACACACACAATATTTTTTCTTTTTACTAAACACTTGGTCGTTCGTTTGTATCAATAAACCAGTTTATGGTATTTATTTCAATAGCTGTGTGTTTAATTAGAACATACTGATGAGAATTCAGTCACTGTAACTGGTTTATTGATACAAACGAAAGACCAAGTATTCACCCAAACCCAATATTCTTTCTTTTCACGTGCGTCACAACTTTGAGTGTACAGTCCCACAATGCAACGCGATCCGCCATTTTACTACCCGAGCTGCTGATGTTTACACGCTTTCCCATTGCTGATTAAGGTGAACATAGTAGACAAAATCCACTTTCTGATCTTTCAAAAGTCAGCATACTCTAAGGAGGAAATGAGGAACCATAAGTCGCTGGAAGCTTACAAACTGTTCCAGGATGGATGGGAGAAAAAACGTCCTACACAAAAAAGTGAATGGTCTTCACTTGTTGTGATCTAAGGTAATAAAACATTTTGCATACACGCAGATTAAAACTTTGTGAAATCGATTTGATGTTGTTTTTATTTGCATGAGAGTAGACATTATTTCAAATTTCTTAATTTTTATCACTGGCAGAAGGGGAGAATACCCTCTTTAATACTGGCTGTAGGCACCACTTAGATTAGTTTTTTCATGTTTCATCATAACTGTGTTAAAGCTCAGGGGTAATTTGAAATATTGAATTTTTTCCTGTGATGTGTACAAACAAAAATTATTATAAATTGCCCTCTTTTATGTTAAAGAAGCCCATGAAAAGTAATTAAATTAGACCTCAGTTGACAGTCCTCAAATATGTTCTAAATGTTGCTATATGAACTCTAATATGGCTCTGTCTATTCTTGTTTTCATGTGTATTAATTATTGCTTATTTTTTCCCTTTTCATATTTAAGGTCCATCACTTACTACGTGTAGTATCCTGAGAGGTGAAGACCATCCTCCTTAAAATACGTAATGTTGGGCCTATTGAGTCGCGTGTGACTCCAAAAGCACACCCCCTCTCCATGCCTTCAAGTGTCTCTGACAATTGTATTGGTTATCTGGCTTCCAGAACCTTCTCATTCGTCCCGGGAGATAGCGGAAGAGTGTATGGTCATTAATTGTTTTCCATTTACTCATTTTATGCAAGTGATAATGTATTCAAATGTTGTGAACTCCAAAATATGTGCATTACAACTGTGCAATGATGTTAAATTATTTTTATTTCAAACAATTTTACTCCAATGTGTATTCTGTCATTCATTTTTTAGTTGAATTTGCCATGTTTCAGTGCAATTTTAGAATGTAATTAAGTTACATTTTTCTACTTTTAGTTGTAGAAGTATTTTGGTCATATTTCTCTGTGATCAAGTGGAATTTTTTATAGCAAAAAATAAGGCAAATAAATTACTTTGAATTTATTTTCATGGGATTTATTTCTTTGTTTTACTTATAATTAAAATACTACATGTACAGCAAACACATACACACTTTAATCTTTTTTTCACATGTTCCTTCCCTTTAACCAAATGGAACAACAGAAGGACATAAATTTGTGAGACAACAGCACACTTTCACATCTTTGTCAATTGAAGGTACACTCTCTCCACTTTTCATCTTCAAAACCTCCCATGGTATAATACTGTCAAAAATTTTTAATTTTCTACAAAACAAACCAATAACCTGATCTACATTAATGCATGCATTTGCAATATTTCTTGTCTTTTCTACTTCCATTGGATGCAGCTGTGACTTCCTCATGTAAAACTGGGAATTGCCAATATAGCATGGTAAAAATTGACAGATTCTTCAATGGAAAAACTATCTGCCATGACAATATCACCAGGTAAAAGATTGTACAGAAGTCCACTCTTCTGTGACTTGTTTATCTGAAGTTCTACCACCCCACCCTTCAGAAATAAAAGTGATTCAACCTTAAGGGGCTATCTCTATCAGGCACTTAATTGTATGGTGATGATTGTAATTAGATTATGTGTACACCTTGTTCAGAGACTCACTAGGTTTTTCTGTTTTGAGTTCGAAGCAATCTAGTAAAACAACTTTGTCATCAAATTCTTTTCTGAACACCATTGGCATCAGTTCTCTTACATACTCCCTTTCTGGCCAGTGCACCAAAATACTCAGCTTTTTATAAAAAAAATACTGAGTGTGGAATGAAAACATCCCTGAATTGTGGCAAGTGACACATTTAACTAAAATGACATGTCTTGAAAAGTATAAATCATTCTTAATCTTATAAGACAAAACAAAAATTGAATTTCTTTTGTCAGGCTTTTTGACCTATTGCCCATTTGTGCTTCTATTAAATTAAATACTAGTTTCAAACTTCCTAAATTGGGCAATCCAGTATAAAATTAAACTTCGTTTGGATCTTTTTCATATACTTCAAACCTGTATAGATCACGACATGTGAAGGGCACTCTGCTGTCAGACTCTGCAAGTCTAACTTAATTGTCATTTTCATTAAAGTTTGTGTGTCTTAAGTAATATTTGTGGGTCCCTGTACTTCACAGGTAGTGTGATANCTCCCAGGCCGATCAAATAGGACGTTTTTTAAAGCCAAAAATTTACAAAATGAGCTTTTAATTTGTGTATTTGGATAAAGATATCGTTAGTTGGGCATTCTGACGGTATGAAGCAAATCCTTTAAACCATGCATATACAATTACTGCGTCTCCGGCTGCCGTTCAGAAACGCCATGTCGAACATATTTTGCTACAGTGAGAAACATGGTACACTAGCGACTTGTTTTAGATCACTCAAGAAAGAATGCATACGTGCGACATCTAAGGAAAATCAATCAAGTATGCAACTGATCTATTAATAGTAATTGCACAGTGCATGTTACTAGACCTTTGTCCTAACTCAGTAGTTAGGAATCCTTTCTTTTCACGTGCGTCACAACTTTGAGTGTACAGTCCGCCATTTTACTACCCGAGCTGCTGATGTTTACACGCTTTCCCATTGCTCATGAAGTTAGCCGTTTTCTTGTTAAATTTTTACTTGTTGGTTGTTTATTTGTTACTTTTTTAATTGTTATGGAGAAGAAGTCAAGTTCTTACAGAGAGTTGTTATCTGCAGACATTATGACGCCAAGATTGGAGAGATCGGCGTAGCCGTAGACCCGTACATGCTGTCTTCAAAGGACTACACATCAGACAAAGACTCATGACCAGAGGTGAACATAGCAGACAAAATCCACTTTCTGATCTTTCAAAAGTCAGCATACTCTAAGGAGGAAATGAGGAACTATAAGTCGCTGGAAGCTTATAAACTGTTCCAGGATGGATGGGAGAAAGACGTCCTACACAAAAAAAGTGAATGGTCTTCACTTGTTGTGATCTAAGGTAATAAAACATTTTGCATAAATGCAGATTAAAACTTCGTGAAATCGATTTGATGTTGTTTTTATTTGCATGAGAGTTGACATTTCAAATTTCTTAATTTTTATAACTGGCAGAAGGGGAGAATACCCTCTTTACTATTGGCTGTAGACACCTCTTAGATTAGTTTTTTTCATGTTTCATCATCACTGTGTTAAACTCAGGGGTAATTTGAAATGTTGAATTTTTTCCTGTGATGTGTACAAATAAAAATGATTATAAATTGCCCTCTTTTATGTTAAAGTAGCCCATGAAAAGTAATTAAATTAGACCTCAGTTGACAGTCCTCAAATATGTTCTAAATGTTGCTATATGAACTCTAATATGGCTCTGTCTATTCTTGTTTTCATGTGTATTAATTATTGCTCATTTTTTCCCTTTTCATATTTAAGGTCCATCACTTACTACGTGTAGTATCCTGAGAGGTGAAGACCATCCTCCTTAAAATACGTTTTCCAATTACTCATCTTATGCAAGTGATAATGTATTCAAATGTTGTGAACTTCAAAATATGTGCATAACAACAGTGCAGTGATGTTAAATTATTTTTATTTCAAACAATTTTACTCCAATTTGTATTCTGTCATTCATTTTTTAGTTGAATTTGCCATGTTTCAGTGGAATTTTAGAATGTAATTAAGTTACATTTTTTCTATTCTTAGTTGTAGAAGTATTTTGGTCATGTTTCTCTGTGATCAAGTGGAATTTTTTTATAGCAAAAAATAAGGCAAATAAATTACTTTGAATTTATTTTCATGGGATTTATTTCTTTGTTTTACTTATAATTAAAATACTTCATGTATAGCAAATACATACACACTTCAATCTTTTCTTCACATGTTCCTTCCCTTTAACCAAATGGAACAACAGAAGGACATAAATTTGTGAGACAACAGCACACTTTCACATCTTTGTCAATTGAAGGTACACTCTCTCCACTTTTCATCTTCAAAACCTCCCATGGTATAATGCTGTCAAAATTTTTTAATTTTCTACAAAACAAACCAATAACCTGTTCTACATTAATGCATGCATTTGCAATTTTTCTTGTCTTTTCTACTTCCATTGGATGCAGCTGTGACTTCCCGGTGTGACTGAAATGCGCAATACAGCGCAATACAGCGCAACACAGTTCAATACACTTCAAAAATCAAATCCAGTTGCAATTACACAAAAGAAATGACCATTTCCAGCAAAGCAGGGTGGTATAAAAACAACCTATATTACTAGGTAAGTAATATCGTTGATATAACTTAACCAATCAGCAAGACTTTTATATTGTCCCGTTGGCAGCCATGTTGGCGAGTGGCTTTTCTTGGATATATTACTGGCCAAGAAGAGCTACTCGCCAACATGGCGACTGACCAAACAATGAAAACATTGTCAAGTTAGATCAGTAATATTAATTACTATGTACTATGTTTTGCTTTTATATCACCCTATTTTATTTGAGATTACACTTTCCTGTGTTTACTTGCAACTGGACTTGTGTTATGAAGTGTATTGCGCTGTGTTGCACTGTATTGCAGTGTATTGCGCATTTCAGTCACACCCGTGACTTCCTCATGTAAAACTGGGAATTGCCAATTTAGCATGGTAAAAATTGACAGATTCTTCAATGGAAAAACTATCTGCCATGACAATATCACCAGGTAAAAGATTGTCCAGAAGTCCACTCTTCTGTGACTTGTTTATCTGAAGTTCTACCACCCCACCCTTCAGAAATAAAAGTGATTCAACCTTAAGGGGCTATCTCTATCAGACACTTAATTGTATGGTGATGAGTGTAATTAGATTATGTGTACACCTTGTTCAGAGACTCACTAGGTTTTTCTATTTTGAGTTCGAAGCAATCTAGTAAAACAACTTTGTCATCAAATTCTTTTAGTAACACATGGCATCGGTTCTCTAACATGCTCCCTTTCTGGCCAGTGCACCAAAATACTCAGCCTTTTATAAAAAAAAAATACTGAGTGTGGAATGAAAACATCCCTGAATTGTGGCAAGTGACACATTTAACTGAACTGACATGTCTTGAAAAGTATAAATCATTCTTAATCTTATAAGGCATAACAAAAATTGGGCAATCCAGTATAAAATTAAACTTCGTTTGGATCTTTTTCATATACTTCAAACCTGTATAGATCACGACATGTAAAGGGCACTCTGCTGTCAGACTCTGCAAGTCTAACTTAATTGTCATTTTCAATTGTTATTAAAGTTTGTGTGTCTTTAGTGATATTTGTGGGTCCCTGTACTTCACAGGTAGTGTGCTAAATATCTTGTTCAATGCCCTCACCAGCGTAAAAGGAATATTCGCCATCACTGATACTCTTATTTTGAAGTTGAGGGTGTTCACATCCTGGCCTTGTTTTTTTTAAAGGTTCATACGTGTAAGTGAAGTTATTGCATCTGCACGTTGCCTTATTCCCCACGCTGACTGGCACACCTATATCTACTGGTGGCTGATACTGGAGTACATGCTGAATGGCATGTTGGAAGCCAGGGTGGGCTGGTACTGTCATGCAGATAGGTTTTGATACCTAGAAAATGACAAAAACAATTCATTGTTAATAAAAACCTATATGTTTATTAACAAATACAGACATTGGATTGCATGGGTATTATGAAGTAAACGTGGTTAAATGTGCATTAAGCAGGAGGCATGTACGTGACACAAATTGCCCAGCATAAACAGGACGTAATACATATTAAGATTGACAGAAAGACTACACCTGACAGGCAGAGCATGTCTAGTTGTCATCGTCAATAATCACACACACACTATGAGTTTAAAAAAAAAACACAAACAAATGAAATTTATACGTACCGCCGACAATGGTTCCATCCCATTTCTCCTCCGAGGTGATATCTTTCTTGTTTATTGCCACCTTCCATAACCTTCGCCTTTCCTCAAACAACTTTTGCGTCTCCTCGCCTTCAGCTTTGATGGGGCCTATTATGGAAACTAGTACCTTACTGTGAACTCGGTCTATTGGTACATCCAGCTATGCCACATACTTGCATGACTGTACTTTATGATAAAAAGCAACAAACTTCGTCACGTTTTCATGCTCTGTCCTGGGCACGCTCGGCTGGTTCTGGGGTAAAAAAAATGGCGGACCCCGGAAGTACGCACGGACTGTGACGCAAGGAGAAAACAAAGGATAGGATGCTTGGATAAAAAGCTTCTATTCAACTCGCTTAGACCTAGGGCGTGATGCTACTATCATCCGCCAAATCAAAGCTGAAACAATAACTGCCCCTTGAACCTGTCCATTTTTTAATCGTCAAATAATTTGTGATTTCATTGAACGTCTTTGATCGAAAGCTTTCAAGTGACAATAACCGAACCGTGTGGTGATTATTTATTAAAGCGTAGGTTTATTCATCATGATCTATTTTGCAAACAATACTTGCCTAGATTGTGCTTTGATTGATCATCGTCACTGTTTAGCTACTCGCCTATAATGCGTGCTGAACGACAGACAACTTATAAATATTATATGTGTTACTGTGCAAATTAACACATTTAGTTAAAATATAACGAAGTCGGTGATTTAATCCATCCAACATATTTATATTTGTTCTTTTAAAACCAGTGTAAGGTTAACGCCAAATCAAAGCAAGCCTTGCAGACTGGTTTTGTTTCAACTGTCGTATATTAAGTAAAGCTAAGTAAAGCCAGTTTCTACTTCGCAGTGTTCATCCCAGCTATAAAACTGCATGAAGGATAACAAGACTCCGTAGCGAATTAACTTTCACAATGCCCTGTGCTTCAGGTTTCCAGGAGTCCCGTGTAACACAATAATATCGAAGAGTATGGCCTGAGAGTAATACAAATATGAGGCCGTGTATGAAAGATTTTACAAATTAGAAATTCAAGAATTTAAACATGCTAGGTACGTGCACATCACTTAATAAGTCATTTCACAAAAATCGCATCTAATTGTTTAGATTAACCTTTACTTTTATCGATCTCATGTTTCAACCACCTAAAAGAAATATAGTGAACATGAGGAAAAGTAACACGTTTACATGCAGGCGAAGGAGTTATACTTCAATATTAATCGCGAACAATATCAACAGCGACTCAAGACCGTTGCCTGTCTTTCACACTTTTACACAAACAAACGAAGGTTTAATAAAGGGAGTCGCGGCGCGATATCTATCAAAGCTCAGGCAGATTTGACCTGCTGGGGCTCCAGGCTATGTGTAGAACTGAAGACAAATCCATAGAACTGCAACATGAACGCCTATGAAACCTGTCATATAGAAAGCTAATGTTTGTTAAAGGCTTCCTAAAAATTGATCAATTTGATTAGTGTTATACCCACGGCTCCATTTACTTTCTTTTCTTAGCATGCGTGCCCACTGTCCTCCCCCCTCAGCACTTTCCTAGTCATTCATACCATGTAAATATAGTGATTATAATCTGGAAACTTGTAGCTTTGTCATTCGTCTCGAAATAGGGTGGGGGAACAGGAAACCTGTTATGGCGTTTTTTTGCAGAACCCACCTTATGCCATGCTAATTATCAGTTTATTCAGTTACTTAAGATGTATATGTTAAAACCAAAAAACAAACGCTCAGGCACGGTCAGCTCACGACTCCTATCTTCCAATTCAGTAACAGTTAACATAAACTGATCCTGGCATAACCGAGCTATTTCGAACAAATAAATGACATTAATGAACATTGTGTATCAAACGTTTTGATACGATCTAAATAAATGGACGAGGAGGAATACGGTATTAGTTACTATTTACCTCTGGCGTTAACTTCGCCCTGCTATATAAATGAACAAATGTTGCAGACTGTAACAAAAAAAAAAAAAAAAATCTTATAGTGTTTTTATGACATATGATTTACACATTGGAAAGTGAAACACTCCTCGACTTTAACGAATCACCTGACGTAAACTGTCTACCCACGCTCCCCTGAAAAAAACTCAGGTTGAGGTTACAATTACGTCGCTCGCCTAAATCCATATGCTACTGGAATATATATTTAAGGACAAATTAAGCTTTTTTTACATTGAATATAGTCACTAGGTGCATTTCGCTGAGTGTTTACAAGATCTAGCGACGCATTTTATCGCCACGCGTTCTAGTCTGATTAATCAGTGGGTGTTTATTATGAATCGGAGAATCAGGAGATACAGTATTCAAGGAAATAGTTTCACGAAATGAACGAGAGTAAAATATAAGTCGGCACAAATATAAGTCATACAACAATGAGTCATGTTATGGGCCATGTCGGATTATAATGGCATACCTTGATGCAAAACAGTCTATCGTTTCTTCCACCGCGAGTCCCTTTATTTAATGTATTGTATTACTCATTACCCATTTCATTTGACACTCTCTCTTTTTCTCTCCCTCCCCTTTCTCTTATTAGAAGGAGGGTAAATAATTAAGCACTCAAAATCTGCATCATCAATCTTCAGGAAAAAATAAGTCAACGAACCAGTGGGCTGATTCACAACATCCGACACAGCAGAATGAATCAAATGACAGGTAGCACAAATTTATATGCAGTTAGCTATAGTGTCACTACATACATAACCAGCTGCACGCGCGAAGCTGTTGAACAAAAGGATAGTTCGTTACGGGAGACCGTTTGTTTACATAAGTACTCTAAGGGGGCATGGCTACCCAGGCGACCAGGGGATTAGGCTAGTTACTACACGCCGTCAACAATCGTTTAGCGACCCTATCATTATACACCCCCTCTATTGTATTTTCCACCGCATTAATCGCAGTGTAATCTTCAAATGGTCCACGGGGTAAATATACACATTCTTAATACTCGTACGGTAAATTAAGTAAAGCTACGTAAAGCCTGTTTCTAGTTCATCCAAGCTATAAAACTGCATGAAGGAAAACAAGTCTCTGTAGCCAATTAACTTTCGCAATGCCCTGTGCTTTAGAGTCCCATGTTATACAATAAAATGAGTATGGCCTGAGAGAAATATAAATATGAGGCCGTGTATGAAAGATGTTTCAAATAATAAAAATTAAGAATTTAAACATGTTAGGTACATGCACATCACTTAATAAGTCATTTCACAAAAATCGCATCTAATTTTTCAGATTAACCTCCACTTTTATCGATCTCAACGCCTTGTCTGATGTTTACATGTAGGCGAAGGAGGTATACTCCAATATTAATTGCGAACAATATCAACAGCGACTCAAGAATGTTGCCNTGCACGTTTACGTAGTTGAACATGGAAAAGTTTGGAACACCTTACCCTCTGAAATACAAGCAGCAGGTGACATAGATACTTTAAAAAAGCTTTTGAAAACTCATATTTTTAGAATAGCCTATCAGTAACTATCATATAGTTAATTTTAGTTTTTAATAAGGTGTACTGTAATTTTATGATTAATTTTAAATGTTGTCACTTTAGGTTCTTATCATTTTAGAATATGAATAATTGGTTCTTTAAATTAGTTCTTAGTCCTTTAAAATTGTAATGTGTTCTTATATTAGTATTGTGTTATTTAGCTCTTTTAAGTGAATGTTGTAAGGCGCATTGAGATTTTTAATGGAATGCGCCATAGAAAAATAAATTATTATTATTATTATTATTATTAAAGTTTTCAACTGATAATAAAAAACATCAGGCTTAAAACGAAATAGAATGTATAGAAATTTAAACTGTTACTCTGGTGGCATTGCGTCATGGCTATGAATCTGACATGGAGTTTAGTCCGAAATATTAGTGAATTTAGAATTAATAGCTAAAACGTTAATTGACATCTGCCCTAATTTGTCAGATAACAAAAAATGCCGGTGATCCAAGCGGAGGATAAGCTTCCTGAAGGTAGGGGCGACGAACGGCGACGATGTTTTTTTAAACAACTTACCTGCCTGACAGTGCACGTGTATTAGTTACGAAAAGGCCTTTTTCATCAGGCGTATGTTATTAATTACTTCATGTCACAAAGTTAATTTATGATAAGGCATTAGATGAAGGCATTGTACGCAACCAGACTTGCAGAATGCTGGAAAAACTACATTGCTGCGATGAACCAAGCTAACAGAGGGCTGCGATTTTATGAAGAGCGAAAGCGGAAGCTTCGTGAAGATTAACACTAAAGGTCACCGTTTATTCAACGACTTATTTTTCATACAAACTCACAAGAAATTATATTCAATTTTCCGTACTGATTCAATTTTCCGTACTGTTTTTGTTCTATTGCCTTTTGGGTGATTAGCTCGTGGTAGAAACATTGAATTACATCGTGTAATGAACTCATCAAACCAAACTGTTTTATCTGTCACGTGCCCTCTTTTGCCAACTTTAAGACAGCTGCTACTCTTGTTGCTTATTAAGAAAATGAAACTTGTGGTCAATAACTCCCCATCATATACTTTTTTATTCTCTAACCATGACAAGCAAATAGTGAAAGATATACATTTAAGATATTAACTTAACGATACATTCTGTAATAGCTCACAATCAGTGTAGATGGACCTTGAATATAAAGTTATTTATTGCAAAATAAATTTATATGCGATTTTACCTCTGTCGTTTGTGTTATTTCAAACAAAACGATTTCCTGAAAGATCAACTTTAAAATGTATGACTATTCAGCAAAATAATGTAATTTAATACAACTATGAGTAATGTATTTAAAGTACGGCCGTATATGCAATGGGCCATGTGGGATTATAATTGCATACCTTGATGCAAAACAGTCTATCGTTTCTTCCACCGCGAGTCCCTTTAATTAATGTATTATATTACTCTTTACCCTTTTTATTTGACACTGTCTCTGTTTCTCTCCTTTTTTCCTTTCTCTTGTAAGAAGGAGGGTTAATAGTTAGTTAAATTGATTTATTTCAGTGACAATGCCGAATATATACAAATATAATACAATAATGTGAATATATAAGTAACGGCCCAGCCCTATGGGCTTACAGAGTCACCGGTTACCAAACATTAGTTGTATAGAGCTTCTTTCTGACCTGAAAGCAGTTAAAGAGAAACCTCGCTGTGCTTCTATGAAAATCTGTAAAAAGCACTTGAGGTCTCTCTTTAACCACTTCCAGGTCATGAAAGATAAGATCACCCACTTTTACTTTTTCAAACCATTTTTTTCTTAAATCTTTATAAATTGGACAATCAAATAAAAAATGATACTCATCTTCTACTTTTTGTGTGTTACAAAGAAAACATAGTCTGTCATCTAATTTTTTGTTAACAAAGCGGCCCGTTTCTACATGTAATGGAAGAACCCCTGATCAAAACGGGGCCATGATCGATCTTTCCGCAGCTTTTAAATTGTACTTAACATAATTTTCCACAAATAAATTTTCTTTAAGTTTTCTGTAGACCCTTAACTTTGTTTTTTTAATACTGCTTCTTTCCAGGCTCTCTCCTGCAGTTTAAATAATATGTTCTTTATAACGCCAACATCACAATAAACTAAATCAATAAACAAATGCTCCATTTCACAAACAGCTAAAACTCGAGAGACATGAACACACCAATTAATGTTACCCTCTTTTGCCAAGTCATAATCTCTAATGAAAATTTGTTTTGTGATCCTATCGTCACTCATGCTCAAAAGTCTGTTCCACAATCTTATAAGGTGCAACCATCTTTTATACTTAGTATTCATCCAACCTATATCTCCTTCTATGGCCAGAAGCACTCAAAATATGCATCACCAATCTTCAGAAAAGAATGAGTGAATGAACCATTGGACTGGCCCAAAACGTCCGACACAGCAGAATAAATAAAATAACAGCTTTCACAGATTTAACTGCAGTTATCTGTATGGTGTCAGTATAAACATAATCCGCTGCACGCGCGAAGCTGTTGAACAAAAAGATAGTTCTCCATAGAAGACCTTTTGTTTACATAAGTACTCTAAGGGGGCGTGCCTACCCAGGCGACAAGAGGATTAGGCTAGTCACTTTATTCCGTCAAAATCGTTTAGCGACCCTATCATTATCACACTCCCTCTATTGTATTTTCTGACGTTATAATTGTATCTAATCTTCTTACGTTAGATGGCAAAAATGCACACATACATAATATTAGGACGGTAGATTGTTTTATGTAAATTTTAGTTAATTCCAACGCCTCTTTAATATTTTATAAGAAAACCTGATATGTTCATCACACCAAGGTGTGTTGACTTTGGCTATGAGTAAAAATCAGGATCATCGGGATTAGATAACATGGGTGATAAGAGAAAGTGACTTCCAGGATTTATATACAACATTGGTCAAAAAGGTTGTCCCACCCCCCATTCCATGTGCTTTTGTTTACAAATAATCACCTCACAAATTGTCGTAAAAAGTGCATTTTATTCCATATACCGCATCTGACATGATTAATGGTTAAGTAAATACAAATTTGTGGTGACGATATCCATATTTTATGTTATTTTTTCAAGTTTATGACATGTACCCCCTCAAATGCAATGTTTCACTGTGATTTCCACAAAGGTAAAGAAATGTCCATTAAATTTAAAAGATGCCACCAAATTTCACCAAATTTACACACAATTAGCATTAGTATGTGCTCGATAAATGCCACGTGTTTAATAGCGAGTGTGCCAACCACTGCAATTATCTCCTGTAGGCGGCGTAACAACCTTTAAGAAGGGTAACACTCCTGTTGAGGAGTTGGTCAAGGTTATTACGAGGTTACCTCTCCTCTGCATTGCACACCCCAATTCACGCCACAGGTGCTCAGTAGGGTTAATATCAGGGTTCAAAGATGGTTGCCCCATCCTCAGAACAATATGTTTCTGTAACAGACCACTTGCCAGACGAGAGCTGTGAGCAAGCGTGCTGTCATGATGGAAACTGAAGTAAGCTCTTGCAGATGGAGTGAGAAATCAGCTGAGAATGTACGTTTGGTAATCCCAGAAGCACCGGAACCTGGCCAACCGTCAATGGTAGGAATCTGGTTTTGCTGAAAGAATAAAGGTATTTCTTGTATCTCATAGGTGGTCAAATGAGGGTCCGTAGACAGGTTGCAGAATGCCTCTTGAAAGGGTGTGTGAAGAATAATACCGCCTGCGGTGTCAGATCGGTCCGTTTTTGGAGATCATTCCAAGCCCATAGTATTAGTACATTGTTCCCTCTGGAACAGAACGTTACTGGGGCATTTTAACGTAACATTCTCAACAGATATCTCACTCCATTTGGAAGAGGTGACTTCAGGGATGCTACCGACTTCATCTTGACAACTCACTAGACTGGCGGATTTGAGGGGGTTCATTTTATAAATTTGAAAAAATGGTATAAAATGAGGATATTTTCACCATTTCACCATATTGTATTTTCGTAACCATTAACCATGATGAATATTGTATCTGAAATAAAAAGCACTGTTTATAACATTTACACCTGTGAGGTGATCATTTGTAAATAAAAGCACATGACATTGGAGGTGGGACAACCTTTTTGACCAATGTTGTAAGTATATATATAAATCCCCAACCTGGAGACGAAACTAAAACTTTGATATGTATTCTGATCTCCATTTTGGTTATTTTTTTTACATAAGCTTGCACTGTTTAAAACACATTACACCTACCTTTGAATTTTGATAAGAACATTATCTCATATTTATGTCTTCTCGTTGTAAGTCGTATCGTGCTAAGTGGTAAATGAATATGGATCATGGGTTGGTGAAATGTTGTGACGAAGTTTTCAGCTCTGTACTTGCTGTATGTATGATTTTATTTGAAATATCGATTTTCTCAAAAGAATATGCAGACCTTCATTTTTATTTGTGTTTGTTCACAAAAGATCGCATCACAGCACAGGCCAAAACTGAATTGTGGCACCATATATTTTGACAAGCACTTGTTTGTTTAATTTAACATGACTTAAGTAAAAGCTTTCTCCTCAGGAATGACAGTAAGTGAAATTGGTTAAATTATAGATGAGAACCGTTGAGAAGGTTTGTTTTTTAATCGCCCGTAAATGATGTATAAGTGTAGATGACGCGTGGTATGTATATAATTTGACAATCAATTAAAACAGCAATGAGCTCACAATTAAGATGCGTTTAAATTGCAATAGAAGTATATAGCTTAAACTTTACTAAGTGCCGTATACATTTTTAATATTTGTAAATGCTAAAGTACAGATTAAGGCGGCGTTTCAAACAGCAATGCCATAAATCACAATCACAAAAAGCGAACGTTTCAGATTAATCGTTTACTGAGGACGTAATGTGAAGCCAACCAAAACACAAATGATTTGAAACATTCAATGGCATCAACCCAAACGCACACCTTTGTAGTGCATGGTGTCTGTATCTGTGGGTCCATCAAGTCAAATAAAAGTAATGTGTTGTTTACGTCTCGGAGCTTTTACTGTGTGCAGGAAATCAATGTCCATTGGGTAACGCTATTTGAAAAGCATCCATGTATACTCGCCTCTACATTAATAATTATCAGCAATTTGATGACGTCATAGCAACTTTCTTTTAAAAAGCTTACAGACTGCAGGCCCAGGTTAAAAATAAACAAAACCAAAAACAGTTTAAGTCAATACCCGAGTTAAGTTTTTTTGTTAAACAGAGGCCAGGTTAGATGTTACAATGCATGCTGGGAACATAGCTCACGTATAAGGTACTGCAAAATTCAAAGAGCGGTTATAATCTGAAGATGGCAACGGTGATATATGTGTCTGTCCTTTTGTTAGAATTTGCTCTACTTATGATGTGGTTTGGCGCATCGAATTCTTCATCTTTAAGGTTTCGGGTCCAACCGCAGACGAGATTTAATGCAGATTTCATTTTTCAAACTGCATATTCTGTGTCTAAAAACCACTGTGGAGTGCGCTGCCTAGAACACGGCGGGTGTCGAGCTGCATATTACTGCGGTAACACAGAGACTTGTGCCCTGTCTTGTTCTGAAGTTCCGGATGGATTTCTGTTGAGTGACCCAAATTGTTCTTATCTGGAGGCACGCAACCGCACACTATCTTGTCTGGTAAGTCATTCTATATTCTATCAGTTAAAAGGACCCTGATAAAAACCAAAAGTTGAATTTTATCTGTATTAAATCTACATGTATACATGGGATATACATGTATAATTAGAATGTGTGGCATATGAACATCGAGTATTGAAATATCTTTTAAAACGCTTGTCATGAATGTATTGAAATGCTAGTTCCGATATTTTTAACATTGTTGATACAAAAAGAAACAGAACATACTTAGCATTTACAAAGGTCAACTGTCTCACAGTTTGTTAAAACAGAAAACGGGAAAAAGAACGAAAGACATCGAAGTACAAAATGGCTTAATTATGTGATGTCGGTGGAAAAATATGATATTACAGTATGAACAGGAGAGGTGTAAAGTGTACATGCCTTTTCCAGGATTGTCACGCCAAATCGAATTTTGCTCGACAAAATAAAAATCATATTCCTCGTACTCATATTGGCTGATCCAACTCTGCACGTAAATCCATGCTTTATACCAATTCAAATGAATTGCTGGCGGTTTAAATGACCGACCATAAAGATGCATGACAGTTGTTAGTCCAGAGTACACATTTATTTCGTTTAAAGCAAAAAAAAAAAAAAAAAAAGTGTAAAAATTGTTTTGATAGTTTCTTAAAATAATTGTACAGCAAATGTGTAGCATATGTGATTTTATCTGGTCTCTGGGTTTATCTTTATAGTCATTATCGTCCCTGTTGGAATGATCTCGCTATGTTAACCATGGTATCAAGCATTTAGATTCAAGTATTCTGATCATGAGGATGCTAAGATGGCAGTTAAGACAGGTGGCTTACCATTGCATTTAAGCTCTCAATCTTCAAGTGTGTAAGAGACGCATGTGGTTAGCATTATTGACACTTGTGTCCAAGGAAATCACGAACGTTTTGCTCCGAATTGAAAACATGACACCAAATGCAGCACAATCCACCAATTTATTTAAAACACTATTAAATTACTTAAAATATTTTTGCGAAGTTTGTTTCAGTTTTAATCAGTTGTTAATGCAGGAATTATCGTTTAACATAAGTTTAAGATCGCCCGGTATGAACTAGAGAAAGAGCACCACGAAAATGTAATCTTTAATGATTTTTGGACCCTGTCACCTACGTCTCAACAGTACCACGAGTTGAATTGTTTACAGAGAGGAGTTTTTATTACGACACTTGATGTTTCTAGCATAAAAATTCTATTAAAATTGCTGTCAAATATTTTTCAAATCTCGTTGCAATGTTTTAGAAAAGGTGTTTTGACTAAATGTTTTCAGAATGTTAATTAATTGTCAAAGGTACGTCATTTTCTCCAAGACATTAGTAAATATGATAAAACGTTTTCATAATGTTGATAAAATATTAAGAACACCTTTTGAAAATGTTCTCTTAATATTTGTTTGCTGTATAACAGAAACAACTGAAAGACAAGGNGTGGTTTAGACTACAAAAAATTGGTATTCATGGGAGAGTTTTACGGGTCTTAAAATCAATGTATTCAAAATTGAGGTCGTGTGTTTTAATCTCCCCGGGACTTACAGAATATTTTGAATGTACTGTTGGAACCAGGCAGGGCTGTATGATAAGTCCATTTTTATTTAATATGTTCCTAAATGAGTTTGTAGAGAGGGTAAATGAGAGTGATGTACAATCTATTTTTATTGATGAAATTGTCAGCATTTCGCTTCTATTGTATGCTGATGACATGGTAATTTGTGATGACACTGCATTTGGCTTACAAAAGAAGATAAATATTTCACAGAATTTCTGTGAAAATTTCGGACTGAATATAAATTTGAAAAAAACAAAAATCATGGTCTTTAGACACTCTGGACCATTACGAAAATATGAAAAATGGTACTTTGGTGGACAACCGGTTGAAGTTGTAACCCACTACAAATATCTGGGTCTAACTATAACGCCAAGGCTCGTTTGGACAAAAGCCACCACTAGTTTAAGTCTGAAAGCAAGAAAGGCAATGATTATGGTTGATAAACTTGAATATAACACTGGAAGGGTTAGGTCTGATATTGCATTTATGATATTTGATAAAATGATCGCGCCAATTTTATTTTATGGTGCAGAAGTTTGGGGATACCAAGTGTATGACAAAATAGAAAAGGTACAACTTGCTTTCTGTAAAAGGATTCTTGGCGTGGGATCAACAACTTCAACAATAGCGGTCTTGGGAGACTGTGGTAGGTTCCCATTGTTTATAACTTACTTCAGTCGGTGTGTCAAATTCTGGCTTAAATTACCGAGAATGGAAGAATGCAGATATCCAAAAGCGTGCTATAAGATTATGTTGGTATTAGATCAGGCTGGTCGCATTACATGGGCGACAAAAATTAAAGAAATACTTTTTAGATATGGTTTTGGGTTTGTATGGTACAATCAGGGTGTTGAGAATGAGATATATTTTTTAGAAATTTTTAAGACAAGAATGAAAGATTGCTACATTCAAGAATGGAACGGCCAGTTACAGAACTCGTCTAAATTAAATTTGTATTGGATATTTAAATCTGTATTTCAAAAAGAAAATTATTTATTGTTGAATCTCCCGAAAGCGCACTTAGCTGCTTTCGCCAGGCTCAGGTGTGGAAACCATAATCTTATGATTGAAAAAGGTAGACATGACAACATACCCTCGAACGAGAGGGTATGCACACTATGTAAGGACGAAATAGAAAACAAATATCACTTTTTGTTAACATGTGAGATGTACAGGGACTTAAGAACAAAATATATACCAAACAGGTACACCTGTCAACCAAATATCCAAAGGTTTAGACAGCTTATGTCTTCCAATGACAGAGATTTGATGATTAACCTGATTTATTATGTTTATTATGCCTTTAGAAAAAGAGAATCTTTTTTTGCAACGGATAGTGCATGTACATGAGCTCTCCGCATGCGCAATAGTTACGTTATATGAACCATTTACATTTGTAATCTGGGCAAATGCCTTTATACGAAAAAATAAATATCTTGGAAACATATTAAAAAAAAAATATATATATGACAATAAATTATTATTATTATTATTATCAAAGACATAATCATACATACATTTCCACATATGCACACCAGTACATTAATATACCAGTACATTAACACTAAATGTTTAAATGTTTGGAGTTTGGGAACAGCTCAGAGTACTCTTGACAAGTGACACAATGCCGCCTGTGCCACTCTGAGACTAATGAACACGTCCCATGGCACATCAAAATATTTCAAGAGTGATAATTTTTTAACTAAGACTCCATTCCCATACCTAGATTGATCTAGAAGGATTGACCCATCGCTGAGGGGTTTTCTCGCTAAATGGCACTCATCTTAAGTGGCTTTCATGTCTGGCATGCCTACTGAAACTGTTAGGGGGTAATTAACCATAGTTTAGCAGCTTCAGTAGGTGTGCCAGACATCTAACTTACTTCAGCTGAAAGTAATTTAGGAAGAATCCCCTTGGAGATGGGTCGATCTTGCTAGATCGATGTAGGTATGGGATGGGGTCTTTGTTTGTGATAAAACAGCTTTTGATCTCTACATTGACACTAACTTGGAAACAGTCCAGTGAGTCCACAAAAAGTTCTGGCAAATGACTTCTCAACCACTGGTTCCATTGCCTGTCCTGCAAAATGTCCTGTCTGGAAGCTGGGATTTCAAAATCACCTACAATACACAAAGATCACAGTGTAGAGTGACAAAAAATCTATGTGGCTCAATAATCCAGTGAATATAATCTTTGATGCAGCAAAATATGTGAAAAGATTTGCCCAAAGAAAAAACTATATGAATAAAATAAAAACAGGTGTTTTAAAATAATAAAATATAAATATAATGGATATAATTCACATTGTGGACGCCAAACTCAACCTCACCATTTCTGTGTGCGTGAGAGAGAGAGAGAGAGAGAGAGAGAGAGAGAGAGAGAGTGTGTGTCAAACATGATCTTACCCTGGACTACAAATTTGAATCCAAAGCATCTCAGAGGCAGAAAAGCAAATACATCTTGTTTTGGAGGCTGAAGAAAGCATGCAGATGTTTAAATTGATTAATAACAGGTTATTTAAAAAATCATTATTATTTAAGTTTCACTATATGTTCAATTTAATAACTTTAATTACCTTTAACACTGATGCCAGATTTACTTNCTAAATTAAATTTGTATTGTATATTTAAATCTGTATTTCAAAAAGAAAATTATTTATTGTTGAATCTCCCGAAATCGCACTTAGCTGCTTTCGCCAGGCTCAGGTGTGGAAACCAAAATCTTATGATTGAAAAAGGTAGACATGACAACATACCCTCGAATGAGAGGGTATGCACACTATGTAAGGACGAAATAGAAAACGAATATCACTTTTTGTTAACATGTGAGATGTACAGGGACTTAAGAACAAAATATATACCAAACAGGTACACCTGTCAACCAAATATCCAAAGGTTTAGACAGCTTATGTCTTCCAGTGACAGAGATTTGATGATTAACCTGATTAATTATGTTTATTATGCCTTTAGAAAAAGAGAATCTTTTTTTGCAACGGATAGCTCTCCGCATGCGCAATAGTTACGTTATATGAACCATTTACATTTGTAATCTGGGCAAATGCCTTTATACGAAAATAAATATCTTAATATGTCATACACAATAAAACAAATACACAAATGCAGAGAAAACGGAAAATAAAAGGAATTTAATCAAAAATGTATAATTGATATTTAATATCATAATTTCAACCATCATAATCATCCACAAATAATTGAACAGATCGTTAAATAATCTTAAATAAAAATAGTTTCAACACAAACAATTTAACAGTGTTTGGTATCCTCACTACAAAGAGGACAGTGTAAAAAGTAAACGTTTCGCACGACCTGTCACGATTTAATTAGGTTGTATTGTAAGAGGCAAACGCCTGGGGTTAAAAAGACAAAGGGAAAACCACATATTCGGTTGCAGATTAGTTGCGAAGCAGTCGGCGACCTGTTAGCAACCTGTTGGATACCACAAGTAGGTTTTCGGTCGCCAGGAGGTTATCGGTCCTGCACCGAAAACCGGCGCAACCGGGTATCAACCCAGCGTTCATTTGGAAACCACTTTGCGAGTTGTTGCAACCGGTCGCCGACCTTTTTGCAACCGGAGACAGTTGCAAGTCGCAAAGAGGTTTTTTGTTCAGTGTGACCGTAACCGCACAGGCCTTGCGACCTCAAAGAGACCAAGTACTTTAACAAGAAAATATTAAAGAGTATTATAAGATTAATAAGGATTAAAACGTATGCAAATTTCGTTTGGAGAGGGTGTAGTCTTGTCAAAAGTTCACAAAACATTGCTGACTCTATTTTTAGGGAGGAAATGAAAACTTCATGATTCTTAAGTCCAAGTTCTTTCATTAAATGTTTGTAATCGCCTTACAAGGGGTGTCTTGCAATACTCGGTCTCACTCAGTATTTCCGAGATTTTTATTCTTTTTACTTCTTAGGTAAGCAAAGCCAATGATTATAGCAGTCCCGACGTTTTGAAAAGAAGCCGTTTTACTAGATCTTTTTTTGTCCTTTGAGAGGGGGAATTTATGAGAAAGTCGCTACATGCAATGTCACAAGTAGGAAACATATATATTCTGTACGACCTTTCTGCTACCAGTTGACAAGCGATTGCTACAGTCCTGCAACCGGTTTTCGGTCACCAAGTGGTTGCAGACCGGTTGTTTTTCGCTCGGCAAACGCTGTGCGACTGGTAGCCTATAACTAGAAAATGGCCTATTAGAGGTTGCAGATACCATACTGCAACCTTATGCAACCAGTTTGCGACTGCTTGCCGATCAAAATTGGCCATAGCTTCTTAACTAGCTTGCAAAGTGATCGCATGCGACCGCCAGATTTTGTGGTTGCAAAAAGGTTGCAAAAAGGTTGCAAGCGCAGTGTAACCCAGCCTTAACGTGTGTTGTATGTATTTAAATGCTAAACACTGTTTTTACAGTGTAAGCTACACATTGTCTTTTATTGATAATATTTATCATTTCATCAGAGGTTGCAATGAGAAAAACTAGTGATGGTGATTGTGACTCTGTGAGAAAACCTGGCGTTGAGAGATGTGATGAGAATGTGATATTTTTGTTTCCAGATAATTGAGTCCAGCATAAATTTCACTGATTTTAGATGTGAAAAAGTCACTCATGGTACGGCAATACCCTTCAAATATTCTGCTGCAAGACGTGTGGCGCACATTTTCTTAGCAAAATCTATTTTGTTGATGCCACAAGCAATACCATGACTATTATCAAGTCGGATCTGTTGAATTACAGATGTGAGTCTTCCAAAAAATATTTTTTCTATGCATCCATCTCAGGTATCTGTATACATCGTACGTTATGTATTCCCAAGGCAACTTAATGGTGTTTTACACTTGTAATAGTGTGTAACACGTATCTATGACTGACAATAACAAACATCAAAGATTCATAACACGCTTTGTTTGAAATGATACAACTGAGGAAAGTTAAACAATCAACCAAAACTAAGAGTAATACATAAAAGTAGGTGCTTTTAAATGAGATTAAAATGAATGTATCAATTTTTGTGAGTGTTGTACCGGTTTATTTTGTCAGTGGGTTTAGTATCAGCGTTTCTAATTGAAATGATATCACATTGTCAAAACAGAAAGTGTTTCAAATTAATCGTTTAGTACTGCTGAGGACGGCGTGTGAATCCAACCAATACTAAAGATTTAAAACATTAGCAAACCAACTGTCTGCCTTTGTAGAACAATGTTGCCATATCTTTGGTTTCACCATGACATAAATAATGCACTGTTTACTCTTAATGCGTAAACTTTATTGCCCATACTATTGTATTAGAAGAACTAAGTACAATGTAGGCCTACGTTATGATTTTTTTAAAATCCTATTCGTTTAAAATGCGGAAATAAAAATCGCCATATGCTATGCATAATGCTGTTACATCAAAATACACCTAAATGAATAAGCTAATTCCAGCACTTTTTTATTTGGAGGGGGGGGGGGGGGGGGGAAAACTGTTATAGCGATTTCGAACAATTTGTCCGGCACATAAAACTGTGTTTCAGACATAAGTGCGACAACAACAATACGTGCTAGAAGGTGCTGTCTGAAATGTATACTAATTTGCATGGCATAATCAGTAAAAAGGTGAAATAATACCTTTATTTGATGAAGCAAAATTAATGATTCTTACTCGTTCTTTTTACTGGACTACATAGTTTGTCGAGTCGATTCAAATTTTATTAAGGAAATCAAGGTACCGTAAAATGGGGAAATGCAATTAGTATTTTATAAGATAACGAATAACGCGTAAGAATGAGGGGTGAGTATGTGAGAGTGAATGATACCATATCTATTATTTAATTTGTGTATAGAGTGTAAAGAAATAATAAAAAAATGCAAATACTGACATTGGTAACAAAATTTCTACAGAAGGCATTGCTCGTGTACTGTATTATTTTCAGGAATGTGGGTGTAAAAATGACGGGACTTGTATCCAATTAACTGACGGATCTAGTCAATGTACCTGCCCTGTCCTTCACGGCGGATTATACTGTGAACGTAACCGTAATTTATGTCTAGAAACACACCGGCTGTATTCAAAATAAATATTGTATTTCAAGTTCTTGCTTTTAAAGACTTAAGGTTTAATATCCCAGCTAGCGTTTCTAAAATTAGGCCACGTTATCATCATTACTTGCTTACTTGCTTAACAAAGAAAAATAGAACAGCTTTCTGCTGGATCTATTACTATCAGTACAGATATCAATATTCTACCTCCCTTAGTTTTGCACCAAGAATATAATTTAGTGATAACGTATGGTGTTTACCAATTTACAAATACAGTAGAAATATAGCATATCAATTGTAACAAATGCCTTTGACTAGTGACGTGCCCACCGCAGTTTGAGGTTATGTACAAGAGGAGTTGCTACAGCTTCAATATGACACTGACGGCCAACTTCTCCCAGGCCAAACAACACTGTGAGTCAATGGGAGCAAGGCTAGTCGCCGTAAACGACGAAGAGGAGCACAATTTTATTAGGCAGTATCTTGCCGCAGATAGAGGTATGGAAAGTTTTTGAGAGGACATCATCTGACGTGGGCATACAATACAGCGATACATGTATATCAAACAATAGCTTTCAACACGAATGTAACCATCTGTATGTGTAACCTACATGTACTTTACATCTTCAAAGTTAGCCTTTTAATGTTGTTGTGGCTTTGTATATTGTAGTCATCTTGCAATCTACTAAGTCAGTTATAAGTTGGTACCAACTGTAATAATGTCAGTTATCGAATTTCAGCACGCACGACGGTCAGTTGGTGGACCTCAGCAACCGATGAAGCCTCCGAGGGTACCTGGGTATTGTCTGGATGGGGCGACATTCCAGCACCTTTTATTACATGGGGCCCAGGTACACACCACGCTTAGTTTCCATTTCATTTGTAGTACGTTTGAGTTATTTTCTTTGTATTTTTTTTAGTAATTTTTGTTTTTAAATACATAAGTTACATTTGTATGAAATATTTGCAAGACTGTCTTATATACCTTGTTTTTTGTGTTGCCAAACTGAAATGCTCTAAATTAGAAATGGAAATAAAGCGGTGATGCCTAGCAGAAAATACAAAATTTGAAATAAAAAATGCGGAATTAAGACCAATCATTAGCTTAAATTTATTGAGAATTCAGACGATGTCACTCATATTATTTGACTGATGTCCTATCTGCATAATTTACCACGAGTTGTTTTTCCCATGTTAGAACAACCAGATAACTATGAGAGCAAGGAAGATTGTGCAGTATACTGGGGGGGAAACGGGCTTTTTAATGACTTACCATGCACCATGACTGCAAACTTTATATGTGAAACGGAGGCGACTTAGACAGCGACACATATTGGGAATCTCTACAGGATAACAATCGTGTGACAAGGCGCCTATATGAACACCAAAATATTTCTGGGTCGCATTTTATTCATACCTTATGTATTCAGAAACTGTATAAAAGGCAAACTACACTTTTTGATGTCTATGGTTTGTTGCCTCCTGCTAACAGACGGGCTGTCCGTAAGAGTAAACAAAAGGGCCACATATAAATAACCACATAAGTTCCTACGTATAACGGAGGTAAGGTGCCATGTTTATCTGTAATATGTCACATTGTCACTATTGGTGACCGGTTCGTATTTCACACGCCAGATTAGACGGCATCATTTTGTCAATAAAAACTCCCTATAAAAGGCTCTGAGGTATTCTTTGTGAAAGTGCCTTGGGTAAAACATTTCAATTTGATTAGTTGTAGAGAAAATATGGATACGCTATCATATTCAGAGGGTAACCTGGATAATTGGATCATGTTTTTCGCTGCCAACATATTGTATGGGGATATTGTTGTTATGTTGTATTTGTCAATGCAGCTAATGGGATCAACGGACTATTCTTCCTGCTATCAACACCGGTTGTGTCCCGAGTGTTTTAAATTTACACTTTATCTAGTATAGGATGCTGTTGGCTATCGTCTATGACTACTGGATCCTGTTCAGGCACCGGATCCTGTTCAGGCACCGGATGGTATGTTTTCTCCTGTTTGGATGTTCTTGATTTTTTCTCGTCTAGCTGTATATCGTCTCTCTGAAATATGGAATGTACATATTATGACTTTTATGACATAACTTTTGATCGTACATTAGGGTGTTTCCTTTATTTTTTAACTTCAATTTTGCTGAATGGAACTTTTTTTCAAAAAAGTAAAAGGTATTTACAGTAATGTGTTGTACTTCAGTTTCAAAAGGTGTGATAATTTGTCATGGAATTATGCATAGTTTTTCATTTCTATATAAAATTTTTCAACATTTGTTATTTTTCAACTTGAAACATGTTTTTAATGTGGTTGCTAAGTCGTTTAAAAGGAACATGGAAGAAATAATAATAACAGTGATAACTTACTTTTTTCTTATCTTTGGGAACTTCTTTGAAGTAGTAGCTAACACACAGTATACAGTATATCTGAAACGTAAGAAACATAAGTTTATCTCCAGGATAATGTATGTAAAATATCCATTTAAGTCTAATACAGTGCATATGTTACATGTAGTAAGTACAATAAAGGTGTTATAGTAATAAACAAATGTGTAATAATATGGTCGTGACCTGAGAGAGAGAGAGAGAGAGAGAGAGAGAAAGGGGGAGAGAGAGATTAATTGTTTGTTATATACTCCAAGGAAAGTGGTTCTTTCTCAACATGGATATTATCTGTTATGCGAATACTGCATTTTCCACTGGCGCCGCATGATGAAATAGTATACAATTTTTCCGTATGAATTTTTCGGCATTGACATCGTAAGCAGCTTTGGGCTGCGGCGAGTACGTTTGCATTATGTGCGGCTGCCGTGCCATTTCTCCGACATGACCTTGAGGTCACGCGGGCATAAATCGGGTTTTCGGTTGAAAGTGATTGTACAGAGCCCTTTCAGTCTCAGTGCAGTTATCGTACGCCTTCCAAAGTGGAACAAGAGGTTCAAAACATTTGCACGATCACCGAAAGACCACTGAACATTGCCCGTATGGAAAGCGAAGAATGCCATCCACGGCCTTTGGGCTTATGGTCTCAAAATTTGGCAAAAAATTTAGCTTTACAAAATTTCAGGAGCCGGCAATCTGTATGATTGCATGCCATTTTAGACGGCACCGTCTACCTCCGCACAGGCGAGGCACAAAAATGGATTTACGGACAGTATACGAGTATCGTGCTGACATTGCTAGGCAAATGTATTATACACTTTACACAGCATGTTTGAGGTAATTTTCAGAACAATTGCGATAGTGGAGCAAGCAACGCAATCAGTGTTTATCTCTAGCACTTACATTTCCCACCAACATGACGATAGTTACAGCAACCATAACCCAGTCAAATACTTGTGGTACTGAAAATATAAATAGTGGCAAATTATTTGATACAGAAACAAGCTATAACATAACTAACTTTCTTCATCATGTTCATATTCGGTATAATATTTATACGCTCTGTTATAAGGTTTCTGAGCACTGTCTTGTTAAATCTGAAAACAAACAAACAAGCAAACAATCGAACGAACAAATGAACGAACGCACAAAAAATAAAATAAACAAAACAAACAAACAAATAAAAAGCGCTCAGTAATTATCTATTGACAACCAGACTTTGAACTTGGGCAAGGTACACGAAAATGGCGCGCCAGTTAACAAATTACTTATAAATCATGTATGATTTTAATGAACTTGTACTTACCTCTCAAGACAAAGATTAAGATGATATTAATGACGTCATTGATGGCATGGAGGCCAGTGAGAAGCAACCAAGGTATGAACATCCATCGATGGCGCTTAAACGAATTAAAGGTAAAAGGAAATAAATCAACCAAACCTAGTAAAATGGATGTGAAATATCCAGAAAAAAAACATAATATCTAAACATTGGTAGTAGGCTTAGTCAGAACCACAGCACTGATACACTGATTGATCAAAGCAATCAAAGAGAATTCCTAACACCACTTGGACCGGAGACTAGGGAAAGCCGTAGAACATTTTAGCACTGTTAATAAATATTTTTGAATTAAGGCCCTGACTATGTACTAATAGCTAAGAAAACAGGTAAATAACGTGTAAACAGGAGCCTATACAAGCTAAATTTATGTCTTTCGTGTCAACTGCTGGTTGATGGTACAAATGAGTAAGCCTCCCAAAACGCAATGTAGCCATTCTGTCATTGTGACATTAAAACAGCTTCCTGAAACATCGTGAAGTTGTTTTATTTTATATAAGAGGGCCCCCATTTATGCGACTTTCAGAGAGAACATTAAGCATCATTAAATGCTCACTTTGCGTTATCTTAACTTCTTAATCGAGGACACGCCAACAACATGTAATATGATGTTCTTACGAAGGACACACCCACAAATGTGGCGTACTTGCCGAGGACACGCCCACTAATTTGATGTACTAACCAAGGAGACGGCCAGTAAAACGACGTACTTACCGAGGACACGCCCACTAATAGAACCACTGCACTGATGAGCCAACAGGCGCTGAGGATTAAAGAAACCAGCAACTCCGGTCTCGGGAACACAACGTTGTCCTTGACGACGTCTATCGAATGTGTCTCGTTGCCATGGGGATTGGCAAAGTGATTGACTGAAATAAGGACACATGTCAAATTTTGACAAATTGCAATGTCCCAATTTTCACGTTGCCCAGTATGTAAATAAAAACACAAGAAGTAAAATAGGCATTGCAGATTCAGATTAAATGATCTCTAAACCATGCTCCATTCATCAATAGTAGAGGAAAATTAATCAGTATAATGGACATGCCGTATACTACACAAGTGACCTGGGGTGCGCCATCTGATTCTGGTGGATTGTACGAGATTCGTCATATATAAAAAATATTTCAAATTTGCTCAACGCATCATTTAGGCCCACTGGTATAGGTAAAATATAATTGTGATGCACAGGGTGTGTTTCCTACCTGTAGCGATTCCGTAAATAGCATACCCGAATTCCATAATACCCCAGACCTGAAGACAAAGTGTACAATATAAACAGTCCGTCGGAATGAGAACAAAGGTGGGGTAGATTGTATATAAATAGCTCATAGAATATGATCTTATGTTAATTTTATGGAAAAGTGGTTAGGTTTTGATACTAAAAAATGTCCCACGTCTTGGAGCCAACAAGCATACAAAGAACGTTATTATAACGTTACCATGGCGTTATTTGGTTATTTTAACGTTATGGAAACGTTATAATAACGTTTCATGTTTGCCGGATACTAACCAGGGACCAAACACCGCATGCATACGACCCCTGGCGGAGAGTACAGCAGAAACAACAGCACTTCATTTTGGACCGCCGCCCGAGGTTATTTCGGATATCAGACTATCTTCAAACTACAGGTAGGCTGGTCATCGGGGTTGATCTACGTCTCTGGAAAAAGAGGAGGAAAATGCATGAAAAAAATGTATGTCAATTCTAAGATTTCGATGTCTACATTTCTTGCAAACTACCTGTCTATCCCAATTCAGGTCTACAAAACGAGAAAACTCCTCATATAAATGTATTTGAGGTTGATTTTTTCTTGCTGATATGGAAGGAAAGAAAATGTTGTACCTTACTATTGGCCAATCCTTTTCGATCAAAGTTAATTAATTCATTAAAAATTGTGGAACACATCGTATCAAAAGAGTAAAGGCCGAGCAATGGTTTTAGAGTAAAAAATTGCTTCTTTTTCGAGGAAAACTCAATTTAATGAGAAAATCTTGCACAGGATACATTTACATTTAAGACCCATGCATTTAGTCGACTTAATTGAACAAATGTGAATCAGCGGCTGCCCACTCTAATAGAACACTGTAGCTGATCTTTTAAAAGAAAGATGTAACTAAATGGGCTGTACACGGATTTATTCTACTTGAATTTGGCCAAAATTTTAGGACTTAGCGTTTAACCTACATTTGTTTTTGTCAAACCGGCTCCTAGAATCATGCCAGACATACACAATGTATGTTCATGTGTTCTGTCAAAATATGAAAGTTGACAGAACAGCTATGTATTCTGCTGATAAATGCCAAATAAAATGAAACTTTAACTTCCAAAACGTTCAAAATAATTTTCTTGACGGACAACAAAAATAAACTGAAGCTCAATCACAATTGCGAGAGATGTTTTCAAGATGACTTAGAAGGTGCAATTTTGTAGCCATTTTTTCAACGTCGATTGGTCTCTCTGCAGTGTAAGAGATCATAACATTGAAAACCTCCTCATTCCCCGCCCTCATTTTTTACTGCCCCGTTTTGTTTATTTTAAAATTCATTCTAACCATTTAAACATCTTTGAAAAATAAAACTTCCTCTTATCCGCGTGAAGCACCAGTCGTACCTATTTTGGGAGACGTATCTAGGTCGGGATGGCCCCTGTCCCTCAGCTTTTGGCGCCTTAATCTATACTGTCATCTCTAGGACAAGCACGCTATACAGCCGTGATCATTTTGTTATTGAATAGCATGTCGAAGATGAAACAAATCAAATTAAACACTGCTAATATATTACTAATACAAACGTGTAGGAACACCATGGGAAATATGTAATTGATGTATCGACTGAGCTTTTTCTTTTCTTAAGCCTTTTGAAATTCAAACGGGTTCTGTTGATTATGTTGTTATGGTCATTGAAGCAAAGTGAACTAATCAATTTAGTGTACTTTTTGTCATTTTCCTAACACGTACCGTTGCTCAGTTTTCCGGGTAATTGAAGTCAACCTGCAAGTGAACACCCTACCACAGATAATCCATCTCTCAGCGGTGAATCTGTCTTTGGTTTGTTCCCAGTCTATTAAATATGTGACAATTCGCCTTCAGTGATATTGACGTCCAACAAAAAAATTTTAGCTGATTAATTGTCATTCTAGCAAACGGCAGGCTGGCTCCGGTAGGTAATTCCGGAGGCTCTTATTGCATCCCGTAATTATCAGAAACATGCATTTATCGAATCATTAGAGGAAGTCGAAAGTTAATTCGTGTGCATTTGCAACTCTTCGGGAAATTAAATTAGTTTTTATTCGAAGTATTGTCTGCACCGAGCTGCCGTCAGCACCCTGAGGTTCACAGGACAGTGAGGCCTCACCCCTGTATTTTCCTTAAGTCTCGGTGCCCTGTGAACCCCAGGGAATTGAGGCCTAGCAGATGGTTATAACGTCCAGTCTGTACGACAGTGACAATGTGGGGCAAAGTTTATAGCACTGCGAGGAACAAGAGAGAGTCAATGTCCTTGCGTTCTAAAGAAAAGAGCACGGTAATAATTTCCATGTAAAACTGTTAGCAAACCAAAATGTGGCTACAACATGGTTGCTGCTGAAAAAATGAGCGGGAGAGAACATTTGTGAGAGAAGATTGGGAAGATTAGCGACGAGAGTGAGATTTGTCCATTAGAATATAATGTGCAATGATGCGCTAAGTTCAATTCCTAGGAAATTGGGTAAATGCAATTTACCCTCAAGGTCTCTATAAGCCATTTATCCTCAGAGTTATCTGACGCGACGTTATTAATTACATAGTAGCATATGACTATTCTCGGTGCGTCTTAATCGCCCTTTTAGATACGTCCCAGAAGTCGTTTAAATTCGTGCAAGTTAATAATTGCTTCCTTTGGGCCTTTGGTTTATCTGAATCCCAGACGAATGCTCTTACTGAATAATCTTCACTTTGTCTAATTGGCGAATAGAGTGCTAGCTTCTGTGGCAGATGTTAAAATGTGTGAAGTAATGACAGACAGACAGACAGACAGATGGAAAGATGGACAGTCAGACAGACTAAAAGACACGCGGACAGACAGACAGGCAGGCAGGCAGGCACACAGATAGACAGGCAGACAAAAAGACACAGACAGACAGACAGGCAGATGGACTACCAGTAGAAGATGGGATACAATGTGGTGGTTTTACCAAGGAAAAAAGATGGATGGAAACTCGAATCACTCATCACAGTCTTTCAGCGAAATCGATTTTACCTCTTGTTTCACCACACTAAAGTGACAGTATTAGGAAGACAGTAGAACATGTACACAGTATATTCTGTTAGTATTCGTCTTTGACAATTTGTACCAATAGTTGACACCTGTCTTTGTTAATCAGGTTTCAAAGGGATCGTTCAATCATTGCCAATACAATCAGACCCTGGATGTCTGACTTTGTTTTCTGCATCTGTCGTATAACTTTTTATTTTGCCAAACGCAAAAAAAAAAAAACGTCCTCGGCTAGTTTCTATTTTGATATCCTGTGACGTGTCTTTATCCATTTTAATTCAATGAGTATTCATCATAATGAACTTGGGAACAATAAGTGATGTGAAGACTTTGCAGTTAATTTAGAACTACATCAAGGAAACAGCAAGTTACTAAAACGTAAAATTACGGCAATAAAGACAATGACAGCGGAAAGACTTCTTGAAAATTTAGGATCATGGAGTTGTTGAACTAGGGTATTAATTTTAAATGTTCCCTATCAATATCGACGTAGCAATCACGGAATGATGATAAAATGCATTATTTATTATTCATCTTCCCTACCATTGCTCTTTATATTTACTAGTACTGGGTAGTACTGGTTTTCACATAGTGTAAGACACTTGATAACACTGGTAAATTGACCTCCGTTGCTCCCCACCTCTCTTTCTCCCGTCTCTCTCTCTTTCTTTTTTTTTCTCAGCCAACACCCATACCTGTGTTCTAACTCTAAACACCACGTCCGTTTTTTGTTTCTTACTTCAAGTTGTTCACGTTCACTGTTGTTATTAATTGTGTTTGACCTCTATACACATATCACCCGTTAAACTACACTATATCTGTGTATTACGGAATACTTCATGAAATTGAACTTTTAACTTAACCATAAACTAAACCATAACAGCATTACCTAAACAATGATTCTGACAAAGTTGTGGCAAGCCTAGTTATTGTAACTCCGGGCTGTCACAGCATACCGAAGAAACTGTTCTGGTGAAGTAAATATTCGCATTTTTCCGATAATGCGTAAGCTCAGGTGCTGAACGAAACAACGAAACATGGCTACAGCTACATACACTGTAACCACAAGGAAGATAAAAAACCCATGTTTACATTTCTATTTAGCTTTAAGTTCCAATGTCAACAACGAACGAATAATTGCAACCCCCGGACTAACGATATTGAAGTCTTTGAATAAATGTACAGTATTAGTTGTACACGTAGAAAGTACCCCAGGTTTACCAAGTGGGGGGGGGGTAGGGGGGGAGGGGGGGTAGAGTGATATTCCTCGGCGGGTCTTGTAAGAAAAAGCCTTTCTCTAAAAGTATATGTTTGTTTTGTTAAATTCGTTCTGGAGACTTCCGCACATGGACAAGGTATGACATAAACATGGTGGTTCTACCTCGATTTTGTTTTGATCATCTAGTTTATCGTGACCGGCTGTCCGGAACTAACATGGTCTTCATACAGTGTAGAAGATTATTCACCGCAACAAAATCTATGTTGAACTTCAGACTTTATTCACTTCAAACCTAATAACAGAAATACCCTGACCGTGTCGTGGCTCTATAGGGATGATCAACAAATGGTTCTATAATTACATTTCAATTGACAAACTCTCTCCTTGTAGTAAGGGCCTTTGGGAATGTCTTCTAAATGGGGTCATTGATATTCTAGCTATGAGATGAAGTAGCCTCGACTTTAGATTTACTTCTGCTGTAAACTAAGATGTCTGACGTACAAAAATGGATGGACCTGATCGGGTATGGTGGATACAGGGTGGGATGGGGGTGAGGATTAGGAGTGAGTTAGCTCTCAAACATTTCTTTATTTCTTACATGAATCATTCAGTCATCTATATATTTATTTCTGTTGATAGACGCACCACCCCCTCCCTCTGGCCAATCTTTGTTTCAAATAGAACCTCCAGTTTGAAATCCTGCCCATCTCCCCCCACCTTCCAGAAGCTGATAGCTCCCCACGGTTGGTGAACGGTGCGATTAGCCTCTCATTAACTATCGCTTTTTTGTACATTGATCTAGTCTTGGCCGCGTTTTTGTAAAGTGTCTCAATGCCGGACTTTAGTAGGCCTATGTGTTGCAACAACAGCGTTCGGGGAATACTTCTCCAATCAATGAATATAGTTGTCTTTATTGTGAATGGCAAATTGAAGTTGTCCCAAAACAATGAATGCAGGCGAAGTAACGGTATATCTTCGAACAAAAACAGGCTAGGCATCCTGACCATTGTGGAAGAAAGTTGGAATACATCCAGATAAGCCATAGTATAGCGTTTTCTATCTCAATGCTACATAAAATAACTCTTCACACCTGTGAACAAAGCCATTCGTGGGTCGCATGTTAAAAAACATTCTGTCTCTTTTGCAGTCTACATAACAGTATGTAACAGCAGGTTCAGGTTCGATATCTACCTTTGCAGTCCATATATATACAGGCGACTACATTACCCTAAGACTAACGACCTACAAGTATGCTTATCACAGTCGTTATCCTTTGTTACTCACAAGAGAGCAATAAAACCTGTAACAACGTTTCATAAAGATAAGAGAAAAGAGCTCACCACTTCAAGGCTGAATGTCATGTGTCAGAGTCAAGTCATACGTAGGTGGGGGAGGGTGGGGGTGGAGGGGGGGAGGGGGGTGCAATCCGCTCCAATTAACCCGGGAATACCCGGTAGGTCCGCTCTCAATCAAATTTTGTTACTGAGAATATCAGGGATGAAAGTTGTAAAAACTGAACACCCTTAAAACGTAGCTTGCAATTTTCATCGCGTTTAGGCCATAATTTTTTTTTTAAATTGAAGACTAAAAATCCTGATATCAGTCATCCTGGAAACTTCCACCCATGGTATGTATCATTTTGGTAAAAGAGTCCTCTTTCGTGAAAAAGACCATACCCCCTTTTTTCCCTGGCTACAGATCCGAGCGCACTGGTTTAAACTAAATGACAGTCTCTACATGTATCCTTGGACAAACAGATGCAGACTTCCTTTGTTTTATATCCACTTCCATCGAATCAATCAACTAAGGCCACACTTTTTTAATTTTATGGATGACATCCTGCGCGCGCACGGATTTTCGCCCGTTCTCCAAAAAAAAAAAAAAAAAAAAAAAAAAA